AATTTAAAGATAATATAACCAGTTTTGTTTAGATACCAATGGACCAATATTGTTTCAGTAGCAGTGTTTTTCAAATTATTTACATGTTAAGTAAACTATTTGTATGAGCACATTATTATGTATTTTTTATAATTTTTTCGTATCATATATCATAGATGGTTCTATAACATAGTCTCCGTTAGAAAGTGGCCGATAAAGTCACATTACTTTGGTTACCTTATTATTCTTATGCTTTATGGAGGTTGAAAAATTTGGTTTTTTACTAATTTTTCATGATACTAGCTAGTAATACTGTCAAATTTAACACGTTTTTGTAATTTATTTTCATAATATTTTTACTTTTATTTAAGCTACGCAAGTTTATAACAACATATTCTTTAAAAAAATTCAAAATAATGCTTACAAATATAATTTACAAATGACATATACATCGATTTGTGCCATGTTATATTTATTTTTACTTATAAGTTTTCTATCTTACTTATTTTAAACTGTTAAACTTATTTTTTGGGTGCTTCTTTAGTTTATATAAAAAAAATCGCAAATTCTCAAACTGTATGTGCCAAATTGTTTAAATTGTCATAATTATGTAATGAGGTAACACTTGTGTACACACTTCTTATTGCAATACTACACTTGTAAATTACTCGATGGACTATCATAGTTCCATTTTAACTTATTCACTTTATTTATATGATTATGGCCAAATATAAGACGTCTGATTTGGAATGCTGCTGAAATATGAGTAGAGATAACACTATTTCCTATTTTTTTTGTAAAAACCATCTTTAAATAATCTTTACTCTCCTATTGCACTACACTTAGTATGTGCGTTACCTCCACCACTGCTTTATTTTGGCGCCCAACGTGGGGCCATGAAAATGACACACGTTTTGCGCTCTATGTGTATTTTATTACAAGAAATTCAAGTAATAATTGTAATTCTATAAAAGGCGGACGTGACGCACACACACACTACAGCACATTTAGGAACCAGAACAGTTAACTGTACTAAGTCAACTTTTTATAGTTAAGCATCTCTCAATAACTTGTGCAGTAAAACAAATAGTTATATTTTTTATTTTTAAGCATTTAACTAACGAGACTCATACCCGCACCTTTCGCTATCCCGGCGAATACACTGACCATTGTGCTACCGCGGCTATCCGACGCGAGCATTGACCATTATGCTCCGCGGCGGGGGCCAAATGCTTCCTGGTCCGCGTGGAATTTGTTGTAGTAAAATTTTCTTTAGATTTATACATTAGCAGTTACCTAAATGCTTATAAATTAAAAATATATAGCTTTTTTATTTCTCATCAAACGTTTCATTCTGTCAATCAAGTTTGTGTGTCCATTTGTTGTCACTTCTACTTACAAAAATATGTACTGTTTTGCCTTCTACAAACCTCAGAGCTTCTTACCAAAACTTACTTTTGGCAATAGCACCTGCTAACCCCATCTAGTCTATGGGGCTGTGACTATCTAACATAATACTTGTCACTATTTCTTTTAAGTATATTTAAAAGAGATAGGTGTTATTTGTATTCTCTGTTATGTCTGCTTTTATCGTGTCGTTACAATTATCGTTTACTATAAGGTGAGTGTGTGGACATGATGTATCTGGTTGTCTAATGATGTAAAGCTTATGTACACACTTCTTAATGCAATACTACACTTGTAAATTACTCGATGAGTTATCATAGATCCATTTTAACATATTCACTATATTTAGCCATCTGATTTTACATACCACAATGTAACTGGTTGTCTATGAAGTTTTGATGTTAGTAATAGTGCGTTCTCAAACAATGAAATACAAAATTAGTTATATTCTAACATTACGGTAACATAGCAAAACTAACGCACTTTTCGTTTGGAGTTTTTCTCGTCATCTTATGCGTGAAGAGATCTCGAGTACAAAACAATCTTATAAATTGCTGAGCTTTATATTGAACGCAACACTCGTAAAGTATATTGTATAATAATACAAATATTATTCTAGAGGTTAAATTGCTGCATTACAGTCGAAGTTAATGGTGGTCTGCCTCTTTTAGTTAATGATTACTTCACCTCCGTCTTGATAATGCGAAGAAGCTATACTATAAGATACCGAAATTAAGCCCGACGATTTAAATACCAACTTATATATAGTCATATTTAAGCTTCAAAGTCACAAGATTTTGCCGATTTTCAATACTGTTACTATTTGAATGAAACCCTCTATAAAGCGCAGGTCATACCTAATGAAAGAAATGATTGAGCGCGCAGTTCATTTCTGGTTCGCGACGATCCCATAGTGCCACCCGCCCTCGCTCCGAAACAGTTCAGTTACAAATGATTACCGACATAACCTCTCCGAAGCATTTGCGTTACACTGGTGAGGTGATTGGTACCCTTTTCTGCGAAGGCTCACTCATTCATCCACCTTGGTGGTTGGTTGGGAATTTCATTGAGTCCATCGGTTCCCTAAATAAAATCTAGTTTAGCTCTGTAGTTCGCGGTGTGAACCGGAGTATGAAATGATGCGGTAGCGGCATGAACTTAGTGAAAGGAACCTCGTTTTGATTCCGGTGTGGCTCGCTTTATAGATTGCGGAAAAATTTTATCTACATATATTTTGAACTTATACTAACTGAATACTATTCGATCTTTCTAAACTTAATATTTAAACAAAGTATGTATAATCGCCTTCGTAATTAATACGATTATATATACTTAATTAATAATTACCCATGCTCAGAATAGGGATGACGACGGGGTATATTAATCGAAATTCTATTAAGTCCGCCAGTTAGATTATAAAAAATAAAGGACACTCAATCTACCAAAAAAGGACAAAGATAAAGCGCGTCAAATTTTGAGGCTCGCGACGCCACTGCTAAGTAAAAATTGTGTGACGTCATTTGACATTTCAAATCGAAAGGGAAAATACGTGTCCAATACTTTTTTAAAAATCAACCTGATAGAATAGACAAAAAAAATGTCATCATCCCTATTGATATAAAATCTAAATTGTTTCACTATTTTTATAAACTACTTATCTACTTAAAATAAGAATGTCTTAAAATGTGCATTTACTGTTATGTAACGAATTTATTTTATGTTGTTTTATTGTAATAATGAAAACCCACTGTTATTATTTTGATAATTTTGTCAACTTATATTAATTTAGAAACCTAATTACTTTATGTCAAAATATTATAAAGGAACAGTCAAAGGAGCCTTACAAATAATTAATAAAAAATATTAAGAAGCATCTGAGTTTGATTTATTAAAGTTTATGAATTGTGTTTTTAGGTGACCAATTATTGTTTTTTTTTTTTTTTGAGAATCATTGAAATAGTATTTCGCTAAAAAAAACAAAGGCCTACCCTCTTCAATTTTTGGTCAAAGAATAGAAATATTTATAATGCATGACTTACTAAGAATATCAGGTTCTTAAAGCCGCGTCGCCAAGGTCAAAGTCAGCTTTGACAAAGTATCATATATATTAGTGATCCATGTTGAAAACTAAAAGCAGCGCGTATCGGATTCGGACGTGAAGCCGAGATGACATGCTCAAAGTCTGCATAGAGAAAGTAGCTTTGTTTGATAACTACTTTCGCGCTACCTAATTTGATCGCGTAACACAGTGCAATTTGATTTTGGCGTCCAATCAAAGTCAAAGTTTAACCGTACTCAACTTTTGTCAAAGTTGACTTTGAGCATGACATCTCGGCTTTATGTCCGAATCTGATACGCGCTGTTTAGTTTTCACCATGAATATTAAATGTTAGCTACTTTATCAAAGCCGACTTTGAGCATGTCAACGCGGCTTTAGTAAAAAGCCGGAAAACTCTGACCTATGTTGGAACAACTGGTTTAAGCGTGAAGGGGTAACACCTGTAGACCTCCCTAGAGGTCGTGCGTGACCTCTACCACTACTCGCCACACTTTGTATCGGCGCCGTGGTAGAGGTCGCGTCATGTAAAAAGAACGCTGGAAAAGTGGAGGGGGAGTGTAATCGCCTATTGTACACCTAGGATCAGTAGCGGGGCTAGACCACATGTGGACGTCGGCGACATCAAGTTCGCGAGGCCTATTTGACTTCGCAGTAAAAAACCGTTAAATTAAGTGAGCCAAATAATAAAATAACGTATGAGTAAACGAGTTTTATTGTTGATAGTCAAATGATGACAAAAATAATTACAAACATAGAAAAATTACAAAAATAGTGTTGCCGGACAGACGATTCTGAATACCCGTAAAGTACTACTCGCTTCCATCACGCACGTGTTCGAAAATAATAAAAGTCATTATCATCTGCTTAGCTTTTTCCCCGAATTGTTCGGGGTCGGCTAACTAAGCCAGGCTAGGAGAAACGAAAATAAATAGGTAACTAGTAAAAATTTTTTGCGAGGCCCCCTCAGGCGCGAGGCGGTGGCCGACGTCGCCGACGCCTAGCGCCGCCACTGCCTAGGATATTGGAGATAATTGGGTGTATTGATCTGTATCTCAAAATCTTTAAGCATTGACCAACTGCTAATTCTGGTTAAAAACAAACGAGCCCGAATTCCCCATGTTGGCAAAGATATCCACACTACACTATGTCTGGCTGTGTGTTACCTCTTCACGCTTAAACCGCTTTGAATGAAATTTGCTATAGATATAGTTTGAGTTCCGGAAAAGTACACAAGGTAGATTGTATCTTAGAAATAGAAGTGAAAAGGAGCACGAGAATAATGTAAGAACTATACCCTGTCGGCGCGTCGCGCTTCGCGCTCTTGCATTGCGCAGTCGGGTAAAAACAATAAATTCACACAGACGAAGTCGAGTGGAAAAAAAATCTTATATCTTTTGCCTTATAAATGGAATAATCTAACAAAAAAAATGGCTATAGATCATGGACGTAGTATAGTGAACTCCTACAGTATAGTACGTCCATGCTAAAGATTGATGATTTCAGAACGAAATTGATTTGAGTCTTGACATTTTGTGACTGTTCAGTTGTTTCTGAACGAATATTTAGTTGTCAATTTTCATTATCATGGCGGAAGACGAGGATGGTGTTTCGAATAAAAAAACTTCCCAAAATTCGAATAATGCAGGCCCTTCTCAAGAAAACGAACAGACCGCCACGAAGCCAGACTTAGGGATTGAAGATGCGAAATTCAATAGTAATGAAAATGGCGAGGCATCACCGCCAGAAGCTACAAGTTCGACATCCAGTGAGTGTTTCTGTGAGTTGTTTTTTGTCCGCTAAATATAAAGAGGTAGCTCTAAATGGGTTCGTTTTTTGTTACAGAATCAACTGGCGCCACTCGGAAGGAAGAGAATCCGTTTTCGTTCCGGCATTTCTTGAAGCGTGATTTATCGTTACCGGGCAACTCCACATATGAAAACACAGGAGCCCGACCAAAAGTTTACGCTAACACTGTGCAACATTCGCCGACTAAAATCGATGTCCACGCCGATTCTAGACGCGAGAAAACCCATCCGACCGACACGCAAACCAAAGAAACAAGTAACGATGTTAACAGCCATCGTGCAAGTGATAATACGTCTTCAAGTAGTTCTGTAGAGATACCTTTTAGTGTAGTGGATAATTCTGAATCTAAGCATAATTTGTACACAGACAATTCCAATGTGCCGTTTTATCATAGGCCAAATTTGGCTTCTGAGCCACTGGGCATGCCGTCACTACCAGATTTTGTCCAAGATCACATATTAGTGGAGCAGGCATATCTGAACTCTAATGGTCCAATATCTGTTGATATGGATAATTTACCTGATTTGTATTTTAATTTCAATGCTGGTTCATCATCTTCACAAGGAAGAAGAAATAATAGTAATTATAGTGGTGGTAACCGAAGCTATGACTATGAAGCGTATATGGGTGCTGCATCTACTTCCAATGACAACTCTGGAGCAGCGGGGCGGAATATTCCTTTAGATTTGCCGGCGGGGGCAGAGGCAGCCGGTCCGATACCCCTAGACTTGCCAGCACACCTCAGTCTTGATCTCACTGAATCTGTGAATCCTGCAGACAGGAGGAATACATCTCCAAGAAACACATTTCCTTTAGACTTACCGCCGAATGCAGGTTAGCACCTTTATTTTTTGTTATAGCTATTAAAAACTTAGTATTATCAACAGAGACTGACAGCATATAATTAATGACTTAATAATTATCAAGTGACATGGGGTTGATAAACCTTACAATTAGCAAGTCAATGTACATACACTTTAATGTATGTGTGTGTACATACATGCATGTGCATCAAATGAACTGCTAATTAGCACATAATGTTATTGTTGGGTAATTATGTAACCTCAAAGGTGACATTAGTCAGATATCTGTTTTACAAGTGCAACCATCAAGGAGCACATTAACCTCATAGCAAGTATGCCTCACTTCAATTACATCATCATCAGCCTCTTTATGTCCCCACTGCTGGGGCACAGGCCTTCCCTATGGATGGAATAGGGAGATTGGGCCATGACCCACCATGCGGGCCCAGTGCGGATTGGCGGGTTCTAACGATTGCAGATGCAACCGGGACCAACGGCTTAACGTGCCTTCCGAAGCATGGAGGAACTCGAGATAGAAATTTTTGGTCACCCATCCAATGACCGACCACTGCGAAAGTTGCTTAACTACAACGATCGCAGCCGAACGCGCTAACCACCTGCGCCATCGAGCTCCTCGTTCGTTTACATGCAGAGTCTGAAATCTATTAAGGGGCTGTTCAAGTATTACGTAAGCACTATAGGGGGGCAAAGGGGTCTTTGCTTTGCTTATTTTTGATGACATGGGGGGGTGGGGGGTAGAGATGGTGATTACGTCAGCATCATCGATTAAGCCTTTTTAAGTACTGTTGCTCATGAAGCTCATGAAAGCTCATAAATCAATAAAAAAAACAGAATACATTAAAGGAAAAATGCATATAGGCACCAATGTTTACGTAAGGATGGGGGGGAGGGGTAAGAGCTTTGCTTACTTTTGCTGACAAGGGGGAGGAGGGGGTAAATAATTGTAATAAATCTGCTTACGTAATACTTGAACGGCCCCTAATATAATGCTGATGTAAATAGAGACAAGAAAGTAAAAACTACTTGATTTTCACTTGAGTTTGTGTATGATTATTTAAACTTATTTCTGTATATTTATGAGAAGTGAAAGAAATCATTTTTAGGATAGAATATCATAGTTAATTTTATTATGATATTTATAATAAAAAGGCGTCCTGCTGTGACAAACTCATCACCCACTGGATTACCCAGTGCATTCAGACAATGCAGGGCAGCTTGTGGCAAGCTGTTGGTGTCGCCACTCACACCACATACCCTACTCACTTTAAAGCTACTTAGCATTAATGTGAGCATGAATATATCATAATATAATTTGAAATAAAAGTGTAACACTGCATTCCATGTAAGATATTCACCTAATCCCGCAAAGAATCATTAATAGCCACATTGTAAAAAATACAAATTTTGTGGTATAGAATACTGCGCAATAATAAATTTATATATTTATTTAATAAATAAAACTAGTTTTTATGGGTTAATGCACGAAACTTTATTTATTTATTGACGTTTCGCAGCCTTTTCAGGTCTGCATCATCAGAATATTCTGAAAACTAGTTTTATTTAATGAGTGATGTGCGTGAAAACCTAAGAAACAAATATATTTATTTAATTTATATTAGGTGCCGAATCAATGCGACTGCCCGATTTCCTGCCCGTGCATCCTGGCCGGACGTCACCTGAGCCTGAGCATCAAGATGAACAGTTACAACAAATAATCGCGGAATTAGAGAGGACAAGGTAATGAATCATTTTGTAAAGAAATTCTTGTGGCATGCATTGATCTACTGCAGCATTGGCAAAGTACCATGCAGTGAGGTATCTGTGAATTGGTATAGTATATTGTTAGTGTCATTTATTGATGAGCACTTTAGATACCTATCATCATCCTGAAAATTTATTGAGCATTGAGAAGTGATAAATCTTGCAATGGATAAAACATTTACATATTATTGTGCTGCCTATAACTCTATTTGAGTTAGAAGGTTGAAACCTAAGTACTTAAAAACGAATGTTTGTTAATGGTAATGACTTAATGACAAAGTCACCTTGCCAAAAATCTTAACGGAACCACAATTAGTCACAGATTGAATCAAATGAATCATGCTTGTTAATTGCTGTTGGTTCTTGATGACTAGAATATTAAAACTTACAATTTTTCCCTCTTACTGCGGTTTAAATTTCTTTTTATAAATAACATGAAGTGATACAACGTCTTTTTATATGCACCAGATGTATTTTTTAAATGCACCAATTAGCCTGCCCTAAAGTAAGCGCTGTAGGCTTGTGGTTTGGGTTACTAGGGTAATAGATATAATACATATTTTTAGTATATTTATATAAAAATACATATTAAACATCCATGACGGGATAAAATATGATAATAGTATGAATGCTTGTATTTATCACACAAACATCTGCCCCCACCAGGATTAGAATCCGGAACCTATCAAGTAGGCAACACCTTGAAACCCGTCAGAGTTGGTTATTAACTTTATTGCCTATATATTTTTATTATTGGATTAGAATAATAACTATTGCTAAGAAATGGAACCAGATTATCTTACATTTTTACTAAAGGTTGATTATTGGAACTTGGCCATAAATCAATTTAAATCTCAATTTAAAATAATTTGATGTAAAGAATAGTGATCGGAATAAGTGACATATAGTGCAACAAGGATCTTTACGAATGTGGGGAAGAACTAACGCTGCCATCTTTGTCAAACGTATTTTGACATATTTTTTGTATGTCACTTACGGTCATTTACAGTTAGTTAGACAGTGGTGCCCTCACTGAATTGTCACTCACATACATAGAGACTGTTATCGCAATGTAGTATTGTGTTTGGCACTCAGGTCGGAGTTATTCTCCGAGCGTAGTAGGCGACATAGAGCGGAGGCGGATGCGGCCGCGGCTCGCGCGCAGTACGCCCGCGCCAGGGAACTGCGGCCCACGCCCGAGCATGACGACCGTGAGGTAACTTTGACTACCATTACCTAACTATAGAGGGGTTCCAGACAGGGCCGAAGTAGGCCTGCGCCCGAGCATGACGACCGTGAGGTAACTATGACTACCATTACCTAATTATAGAGGGGTTCCAGACAGGGGCAAAGTAGGCCCGCGCCCGAGCATGACGACCGTGAGGTGATTATGACTACATTACCTAACTATAGAGGGGCTCCAGACAGGGGCGAAGTAGGCTCGCGCCCGAGCATGACGACCGTGAGGTAACTGTGACTACCATTACCTAACTATAGAGGGGTTCCAGAAAGGGACGAAGTAGGCCCGCGCCCGAGCATGACGACCGTGAGATGACTATGACTACCGTTACCTAACTATAGAGGGGTTCCAGACAGGGGCGAAGTAGGCTCGCGCCCGAGCATGACGACCGTGAGGTAACTATGACTACCATTACCTAACTATAGAGGGGTTCCAGACAGGGTGAAGTAGGCCCGCGCCCGAGCATGATGAGATGACTAACTAAGCTCCGGACCAATACGACCTGATAACCTTCAAAAAAGATCGTACTCCTTCCTTTTAGGCCGACATCGCATTTGTGACACTTCTGGTGTTGCAGGTGTCTATGGGTCACGGTAATCACTTACCATCTGGTGAACCTCCTATAATATAAAAAAACATTAAGGCTCAGTGCCTTCCGAAGCACGAAGGAACTCGACATAGTAAATTTTTGGTCACCACCACCACCATAACCACCTGCGCTATTGCAGATAGGTATATATATACTTGATAATAAATATTTGCTCTTCATACGGATTGCATAGTAACTTGAAAACGCACTGGCCAATTTGTGTGTAAAAAAAATTTATGATGATGATAACTTGATCCTCAGCATGCCCACGAGGATCTTCGCTTGTGTTCGAACCAGAGGTGGAGTTATTTTGTATTAGATAAACAACGATTTATTAATAAAAGGTTTTTAAGTTTGGTTAAACTATCTTTTTATTTCTATCAAAGTTCTATTACACTATAGGATTGAATTATTAAATGTTTATACGAAAAAAATAAAATAAAATTTTATTTTTTAATTTCAGAAAGTGTATTATTAAATAAAAAAAGATATAACGTAAACATTTTCTCTTGATTAAGTTAAATTTTGAAAATATCAGCTTTTGCAAGTGATCTGAAACTTTTTTTGATGTGTGTACAATTTGGACAGTGCGTTAAAACAGCATTTCATATTTTCTCCCCAAATTATTTGTTTGTTGTATTTGTATCTGCGTAATTAATATTTAAACGATTTTATTCACAGAGAGGTGCAGATGTGGAATCTACTATATCCAAATTAAGAAAGGAAATCAAAAGGTTAAAGGTAAGTTATCAGTATGTTTTTTAACTTGCATTCATCAATCTTCGTTTGTTATTGCCTCTAATTCAGAGACTCCCCGCATGCAGCACAAGTAACTGATTAATGAAAATGAACCATTAGATAACATATAATCATGAATAAATTGTATTTCTTCTTACTAGTTCATAATTTGCTATAACACCTATTTATTTTTACTAAGCTAACTCATGTCAGTATGTTTACACATTCTAGGTTAAAAAAAACAGTATTTCGTTCTCAGAGCAAATATATTATCTCTTAGTTTTCATCCTTTCTCTATCCCTGCCGCTGTTTATTTAATTCTGCTACTTATTTATTCAAATATGTTTGTAACGTTGACACTTCACAGGGTTATTTGTATTTGCTATTTGTGAACTTGGCAACAGTCTCTTCTCTTTACTCCCTAAAGAGTACTAACGGCCGCTCCGAATTTCGTCGGCGTTAACTTTTGAACCCCCGTTTTAGAGGATGAGTTTGGATTTTTTTTACTTAATTTACGCCTATATAATAGGGTATTTGACAGTATTAAAATTAAAGTGCCAATTGTTAGCATCTGTATTTAGAATTAATATTGGAAGGAGTTTTTGCTATTTTTACGGTAAAAATATTCATAATTTTACTAAAAACCCACGATAAAGATAATAGTTTTCTTGTTTTTTGTCACGTGACCCAAAACGCTTTGGATTTCTGGCGCCTAAAATTACGTCACACGCAAGTAAACCTCCGGTTAAAGTGACATTAGATTGTATGGTTTGACATTTCAATGACAGTCGTGTGACGTCACACACCAGTGAGACGCTATATTGTCCAGAGATACGTTTTTCGCGGCAACTTGAAAATAGAGCTTTTGATTTAGTTTTTTTAACGAAATACACAACATAATGATGAATATCCTTATGGACTTTATAAACATTAGTAAATAACGTGAGATCATTTTCTAAAACTTGTCAAATACCCTATAAAAGCTATATGTGTGCCAAATTTCAGCTCAATCCTTTCAGTGGTTTCAGCTGTGCGTTGCTAGATAAGTCAGGAACGTTGACTTTGACGTTACATACGTTAAACCACTGGATTGATCTCGTTCTTTTGAGTAAAATGTGTTTTTTAACTCAATTTTGCAAAAATCGGCACTTAGTTGGTTTTCCCATTAACACGGCGATATACAGAAGATGTAAAGGACATCCTGCTGCTGACAATTAGCTATCACCAATAGCTATGTGAACAATGTATCCATTAAGGCCGCGTTGTAACATCGATAATTAAATTGAACTATAGTTACTACATAAAATACATAGAGTCTGTGCGGAAAGAGAATGGGCGTGGCGAAAAACGGAACTAACATTAAGATGTTTATATGGCAATCAAACCCAGCAATCTGTAAAACGTCAAAGTTTTGTATTGATACGGATTTGTTTGTTGTTGTGATTTCTTGCGTTTTTTGTATTTAATCATGTCTAAAAGGGGTAAAATTTTACAAATACGTTAGAAAAGCACTACAGCGCCCTACAATCTAAATCCCATTCTCTTTCCGCACAGACTCTAGTAATGGGTGACATTTCGAGAAATGCTTGTTTTTTTCTAAAGGATATATCCTTTATATCCTTTTTTTTTATAGCATAGTCAAATTTTACTATCGATAAAATAACGTGGCATTAATCTACTCTCCTTATGTTTCTGTATTGCCTTTTATCAGGAGGAATTAGCGTCGTCTCAGGAACAAGTTCGTTCCCTACGCAGCATGCAGGGGCTCGCGGCCTCAGACCTGCGACAGGCCACTACCATCGCGGAGACGTCTCTCAGGTATGGACATAAGGTTCACATTAGAATGTTTCAAAAAGAAATAGCGTCTTTTTAGGAATAAGTTCGTTCCCTGCGAGAGGCCACTACCATTGCAGAGACGTCTTTCAGGTATGGATATAAGGTTCACATTAGAGTGTCTCAGAAGAATTTACCATCTTTTTAGGAACAAATTCGTTCCTTGCGACAGGCCACTACCATTGCAGAGACGTCTCTCAGGTATGGACATAAGGTTCACATTATAATGTCTCAGGAGGAATTAGTTTCTTTTTAGGAACAAGTCCGTTCCTTGCGACAGGCCACTACCATCGCGGAGATGTCTCTCAGGTATGGACATAAGGTTCAGTTTAGTTCAGGTTGGTTCTGGTGGCGTAAATTTTCTTAAACACCCTGATTGCTGTGAATGTTAAAAATATTTATGTAACAATATTTTCATTCTTTCATAGATTTCAGGGATATCAGTACTTCACATGGTTATTGGTTTTGCTATGTAAATTTGGCAAAAGACCCCTTTTTACTCCAAATATAGAATTATAAGGACAACCTTTTATCAAAATGACAAATGTGGAGCTCGCAAACAAAACGGCATAATTTTGCTGTGAATGTTAAAAATATTTATGTAACAATATTTTCATTCTTTCATAGATTTCAAGGATGTCAGTACTTCACAAGGTTATTGGTTTTGCTATGTAAATTTGGCAAAAGACCCCTTTTTACTCCAAAAATAGAATTATAAGGACAACCTTTTATCAAAATGACAAAAATGGAGCTCGCAAACAAAACGGCATAATTACGCATCTTTTCACAAATTTTTTTTACAGTCCAGAGGTTAAGGGCTTGCTGAATTTGAATCTTAACTTATTTTCAATCAAAACCGCCTAAAACAGTGTTGCAATAAATTCAAAAGCTCACTGTAGGTATGTCATTCAGTATTTACTGCTCCTGTAAAGTTTAATTTTATGTAATTACTAGCTGACCCAGCGAACTTCGTACTGCCATAAATATTGGGGCAAGTGGTAGATTATTTTAATAATGTGGTATTTTTTAATACCACAGTATAAAAAAAAATATTGTCCAATATAAATTTTAGAGGTGTGTAACGTAGTGTAGTGTTCTATTAATTCTGGGATAACATTCCTCCTAACCCATATGAGAACACTAAGTTACAATACCCAATAGTTTGAATTTTGGCGCGAAGGCGCATTGTAGGTTTCAGAACACTACGTTACAGGTGGACAACCATTATCACTTGAAATGAAAATGAAAAAAACTACCATTGTGACACGAGAATTTTACATATAAGTTACCGTTTTGTTCGCCAGCTCCTCAAATAGCAAATACGAATAGAATATGTGAAGTGCTTGCATGAAGTAACAGCGTACTTCTTCACACCCATATTAGGAATGTTATTGTTATTGGAAACAAATCTTTTTGCATGTTGATTTATTGTTGACTTGACACCATGTGTTTCTATTCTTATGCCGGCACTTCACTAGAGTATTCGTATTTGCTGTTGGTTAACTTGACAACAGTATGTCTTTATCATGCTTTATTGAGAATGGAGACTTTATTGAATAGGGTATTTGACAGTATTAAAAATAAAGTGCCAATTGTTAGCATCTATGTTTAGAATGAATATTAGCAGGGATATTTACTAATTTTACAAAAAAAAAATATTCATAATTTTACTAAAATCCTACGAAAAAGATAGTAGTTTTCTTATCTATTGTCACGGGACCCAAAACGCTTGGGTTTGGCGGAGCCTAAAATGACGTCTCGCGCAAGTAACTTCCGGTTAAAGTGACATTACAGTGTATCGTTTGACGTTATAATAACAGTCGTTTGACGTCACACACCACTGAGACGCCATATTGTACAGAGAAACGTTTTCGCGGCAACTTGAAAATGGAGTTTTTTATTTGGTCATTTTACTGAAATACACAACAAAATGATGAATATGCACTTTTTACGGACTCCATAAACATTAGTTAATGACTTGAGATCGTTTTCTAAAACTAGTCAAATACCCTATTCTCTAAACCTAAACTAAAATTTGACAACAGTGTATCCTTTTCACTATCTATACAGAATGAAAAGGAGAGAGAGATGTTGAATTAAGTTTTAAATTTAGAGTATCATGCCAGAATCGACACCAATAGCAAACAGGAATAACCAAGTGAAGTGCCGGCATTAGCAAAAAAAATTTTGAATTTGACATAATCACTATGTACTTGAACTAATTTAGCACTTTTTTGTCGTCACAGAGAACTATTGTCCGGCCTGGAACAACTAAGGAACCTGAGTACTACCCTCGACCCGACATGATAGCTTCCGACAAAAGGCTAACTACTGGTAACCGAGCCTATTGTACTACACTACACTACACACTCAAACACAATCTACAGTGCGAACAAGACCTTGTGGAACTCATATGTGACATTGACAGAAGGGCGCTGCTGGTGAATAACTGGTGAAATGAAGATTACTTAGTACGTAAAATGTCCTTGCTAAAGGGAACGTTATAATTCACGAAATAAAAACCATTTGCCACGAGTAGCTCTCTGAATGTTACCCGAGAGAGCTACTGGGCAAAGTGAAATAAAACTACAGGTGTTAAATAAAATACTGTAAAGGTTGAACGGTCTATATCTTTAATGTCTCATAAATAAATATAACTAGCTTCCGATAGGGGTCGCTGCCATAGATTCAATTTGATTGGTGTGCATTGGGCCGCAAAAGGTAAAAATTACATATTTGTTTCTTAGGCTTTCACGCCACCACTCGTTAAAGAAAACAAGTTTCAACGGTATAGATGCACTGATTGATTTATTTATTTATTGAGGTTTTGCATACTTTTCAGGATGCGTTGTCTAAACGAAACGAAACGACGAAAATATAAAACTCAAAGGTGACTGACTGACTGACATAGTGATTTATCAACGCACAGCCCAAATCACTGGACGGATCGGGCTGAAATAACTTAGCAGATGCCTACGTCATAACTTATGACGTAGGCATCTGCTAAGTATTTTACACTTCAGCTGTACACCGAAGCGAAAAGTACAAAAACAGTATTTTACACTTCAGCTGTACACCGAAGCGAAGCGAGGGCGGGCCGCTAGTAAACAAATAAATCAGTGCATCTATACCGTTGAAACTTGCTTTATTTATAAAAGGTTTATTAACACTTTTCTCTATAAATAAAAGGCTTATTTATACCTTCGTAAAATTAGTTCCGATTTCTGTCACGCGCAACAAGATCTTGCTCGCACTGTACAATAGTTATAAGAGATCATTATTTCATAGTTATATTGATGTTCACATCCTTTCGTTGTGTTAGACAGTTTCTGTTTTGCCTAGGCATGTTTTTTTTATAGGGAAAAAATATGAGTGAATTTCTGTAATACTATTTTGTTTTCAAAAATCAAGGTAGGTGGCCAAGATATTGAGAGTAAAAAATCCTTTCGCTGGATGGCGCTTTATTTGATTAAGAAACATAACGTCTGTCAAAGTTACTTAATTATATACCAACGAATTAGAAATAATATTGAACACGAACTACGCTAAAAAGTGGTTCCACGCAAACTATGATCAAATAGGCGGGGCGAAAAAAGGGCGATCAACACTCCGATCAGTCTGACGCCGCGCTCAGTCACGCTGGCTTCATTTATGAATAAGGTCCAAGAAGAGGTTAAGTGGCGCAAAACACTGAAAGAAGGAAGTAAAAAGCAAACAAGACTTATCACAGAAAAGAAATATAATTTCTAGAAGATCAGTATAATCTTGATCGCGCGTAATAGTCTGTCTCGTATGCACTCGCTTGGTTGGTATTTCCGATTCACTCTAACATTATCTTATTCAATGAATGGGTAGCCAAATTAATTTGCAGAGATTTGATTCGGCATATATTTTGTTTTGTCTGTGTTAGTATTGAAGTTTAACAGTTTTAATGGGTTTAGGGTAATGCTTTCATATAATTTCTTATTCATTGGTACACCAGATTTTATGAAATTTCAGCAATGCTCTGAATTGCAGAAAAAGTATTCATTTTATGATACGTGAGTTTAAATATAAGCCATGAATATTGACGCGTAAATAGAGATACAATACTTATTTTATTATTGGTTAAAAGATGATTATTAAAATGTGCGAAATGCCTAGGCGAATCATATTGTCTATGACAAGATCACAATATCGAGGATAAATAAAATATCCTTCAAGGATCCTGCTGATATTAAACTTGTATTATTTGACTGCCTAGATGAGTAAGTCAATAAGAGGGGAGAAATATTTGTTTGACATAAAGTTAGTTTTAATGTAATTACTTATTATACAACCCGGCAAAGTCTTGAGCATAGACTATAGACAAAGAAGTTTGCGCAGTAGGAATTTCACATACAAAAACGTCTACTGCGCAAGTTTGTCTGTGGTTCGCTCAAGATGGTTGCCGTTACCTTTAGCTGTCAAAATAAATTCTTCCGTAAGAATAACAAGAACCGCCAAAGTAATTTCTCCCTTGATCAAATGAGTATTTCATTAATTAGTTAAGATGAATAATTTAAATGTAATATGCTTGAAACTGGCTGTTTAAATGTTGGCGTTTTGATCGTTTTCTTCATGTTTTGTGTGTTTTATTCAATGGTTTCTGTTGATCTTGATAGTAGATATATGGGGGATTTCAGATGATAAAACTGCACTTCAGTTTTTCTTTTCAATCTTGTACTGTAGTAATATTTGTTTTGTATTAGACTTCTGCTTACATTACAAAGTAAAACAAATGTATATTTTATTAAATGAAATGCAGTTCTATGGCGAGAGTTGAAATATACGCCAAGACAGTTACAGTTAATTAACTTCAGAGGTATTTTAATAGTGAGTTAGCAACTAAATATTATCAAATAATAACAGATTTGATTATTTAACCTAAGATTCGAGGTTCCGAGACTGTTAATTTGTAATAGTATCCGTTGTACACATTTCCGCAACATTTCAAATCGATCGCTTTTAAGATATTTTTAACGAAAAAGAGACTGGCGTTTTCTTTTCAATCTTAAATATATCAGGAAAGCTTAGAAATTATAATTTATTAATGTTGAGGAGTTGAACAACTGAATAGTTAAAAGTTGGTTTGAAAATGTTTATTTGTTTATAATGAAACTAATTTGCTTGTATAAATAATGATAAAAATAGTAACGAGGCAGCATTTTTTTTTTTGTGTGTGACTGTATTAGGTGATTCGTTAATAGAGTTCTTAGTAAAAAAGTTTTCTCGTAAAAAAATATCAAATAAAGTTTGTGTTGATTTTTGGATTTGCTGTTGGGTTATTATAAATCGAATGTTCAGTATAAGGAAGTAACCACACGTGTTACTAATATTTTTTCGTCTAGAAGTTGTGAACCAATATGCTGTCAACTTCTGTTAGCAGGACTTGCAGTTTCCATCTTTTTTTCTCTAAAATGTCTTATGCTAGCACTTCACATGGCTATTCTATTCGCAATTAGTAAATAGGGTATTTGACAAGTATCAGAAAATGATCTCATGTTACATACTTAAATTAATGTAGTCCATAAAAAGTTTATATTCAACTTCCGTTATTTATTTTAGTAAAAATAAACTTAAACTAAAATACCATTTTCATGTTGCCGCGAAAACGTTTCTCTCGACACCTTAGCGTCCGACTGGTAAGTGACGTCACACGACTGTCATTAAAACGTCATACCATACAATGTTATGTCACTACGACAGGAAGTTTGCAAGCGTGTGACGTCATTAAAGTCTTCGCCAATACCAGGCGTTTTCGGTCACGTGAATATAGAACAAAAAAATCTATTTAATGTTTTTTTTAAGTTATTTTTTATTTGTTCTCTCAGAATAGTAAAATCGCTGCAAATGTTCATATTAAATACAGACATGCCAACAATTGGCATTTGTTTTTTTTTACTGTCAAATATTCTATTTCACAACATATTTCTCCTTTTCATTACATTAAGAGCATGATATATATATATTTTTTTATGTATTTCTGCAACTTGGCGATCTGTGTTGACACAATGAGCCAATCAGTTGGTATAAAATTGCGATTATGTCAATACTAGCACAAGGAACTCTTTATTCGTTCCTTAATCGAATCTCTCAACTAGCGTCGGGACATCATGCCGCTTTAATCGGTTGTGTGATACACTTCCTGCACCCTGTACTTTAGACGCTAGTTCATTGACGTGAGTTGATATTTGAGTTTGATAGGTTTTACTATGTGATAATGAGAGACTGCTTTCTCTACGTACAGTCATGTAAAGTGCTAGCTTTAGATTTGCTACCTTTTTTGCGAATGGTTTGATATCTATCTTTGGCTATTTCCAAATATGTAAGTTGTAAATTGTAATTAAGGTCACTGAGGTTGCCCTTAAACTTTAGATGGCATGATCGAAATGTACCCAGGTACTAGGTCTGGTCATTTAATTTTCTAATGACAATGTAAAGCTAATATAAAATGCACTCAGTTTAGATAAGCAGAAAATCTTTTAATATAGTAGTTATTACATAGTTTTATGTAATTGTACAAAATTGTTTAATGTTATGTACGTTTTCCATCGATCGATTTACAAGATGGTAATATGTAAGGATAGTCATTAAAGTTGAAAGTCGCGTGCAGCTTGTATACAGTGTTGGTTATGTCATTCGATTTTGAAGAATCTGTGCATACAAATGTAGGCTTTAATTACAATAGACATTCTTTAATACGGATTAAAATCCCGATCGGTGGAAATCGTACCAGACGCGTACCGTGTACATAATGTAATCTATGTAACATTTAAAGCAATTCGATGTAAAGTGTTAATTTTACAAATAAAACATAACAATTACTTTTTGACACTTCATATAATGTAATTATTTACTCTTAATCTATCGCTTGTACGTAAAGAATAATAACGAAATCTCTTAAATAATAACTATGTTTATTTTATCGTTAATTAATTCCTATAGGAGAGGACTTTAAAGGGCCATTTACATGATGCAAGTTTCTTGCCAGTAGCATACAATTAAATTGAATCATTATTGCTTCAATCAAGTCATTTATATGACTTGCATGGTCTAAACAGCACATAACATTCTTGATCTGTTATGCAAGTTTTCTTGGTGTAAGCAGCACATACAATAATTGCACTTCTATTCAAAAACGTTCAATACTTGAATGAAAACTTCGCCAACCGCACATACAAGCCTGTGTTTAGACATATCAAAACTGTAAAGGAATTATTCTCCTTAACATAATTGTATTGGTCTAAACAAAAGACATTTGCAATATTTTTTTGTCAAAACTGGTATTCAATAATTGTATGCAACGTTTTTACTATGTACGCATTTCAATAGTTGCTTACAATTTTGAAGATCAATCAATGCACTTCATTTAGGCATTGTCCTAATACAACGCGATAACGCGATCATCGCGCGTTTAAACGACGCGACCATCGCGTGATCGCGAACTGGGTGTCCTAATAGAACGCGAATACGGAACGGGTTAGTCCTGCCCCCTCTCCCCGCTTCCTATCAACGCGACGCGATCATCGCGCGAACTTCAGTTAGGACACCTATTCATCGTTAATAGGTTTGATTGCGCGTTCGCGCGAACTAAGATCGCGCGAATAGATTTTTAAACATTTTAGTCGCGCGAATGCATCGCGCTATCGCCTATTAGGACACCTATTCTAGATCAATATGTTTGATCGTCGACTCGTACGATGATCGCATCGCTCATTCGCGTTATCGCGTTGTATTAGGACAATGCCTTATTGTAGCCAATTATTGATCTTGCGGAGCAACTCGATAGCGCGGGTGGTTAGCGCGTTAGGCTACGATCGTTGAAGTTAAGCAACTTTTGCAGTGGTCGGTCATTATGTTTGACCAAAAATCTTCTATCTCGAGTTCCTCCGTGCTTCGGATGGCACGTTAAGCCGTTGGTCCCGCCTGCATCTGCAGTCGTTAGCACCCGCCAAACTGCAATGGGCCCGCGTGGTGGATAACACGCGGGCCATAACACGGCCCAACCTCCCTATTCCATCCATAAGAAAGGCCTGTGCCCCAGCATTGGGGACATTAATAGGCTGATGATGATTGCTCTTGTATGTACAAGAGAATTGCATCGTGTAAATGAGTCTTAAATCTTAGTTAGTACTGAGGTTTTGATTGGTACGGTTGAATTGTTGTTAGTGAAGGAGTACGTTTGAAAGGTATGATTTTAGATAAGGCTAGCTTGATTGGTCCACAGGCTTGCAATCTGTTTGTAAAGGTCGATGCAGCGATAGTTCTCGTGCGATTCGGAAACGATTATTCGTTTTTCTGTGATGCTCTGTATTAATTACTAAGTGAGTAAAATCACACAATAGTCAAATTTTACCTTTATTGTTTGTTATTATTATATCCGGAAATCTATCGTTTGTGTCGGTTCCTTAAGGGCGCTTGCTTATATGCTCGGGGCAAGTCAACATGGACAAGTCTTTGGGAAGGACTATTTCACTTACGCCCAGCTATCATTTATTGTGCACATTAGGTATGTGTCAGAAATCAATTTATTTTGTCGTCTTCCATCACCATTCGTTACCATCACCCAATTACATTTTTTGACGTCAAAACGGTCTTAATTTTGTGAACCTGAAAAACTAATACTCTCAACAAAAAAAATATACGTACCTTTGGTACGTGTTTAACTTTTTAGGGGTGACATTTTAATAACACTTGAGGAGCGTCTCCTGGGGAAAAAATCGATAGTTCGTCCTCCGAGAGGTAATAAATTATTCTCACAAACATTGATTTATATACCGGGCTGAATGTTTACCATCCGAGTATCACAAAACAGTGTACAGCAAAGCTATATAATATGATATTTTTCAGATTTCAGATTTTTGAGAATTTAAAAAAAAATCAGATTTTTAAATAGAAATATTTTCGCATACGGTTTGTCGCATACTCTTTGAGTATTAAAAGAGATTTTACAATAGTTTTTTGATGAGTGAGCTGGTTAAGTGAGTCCCGTCTGCTGCCTGGTCCGCGTGGATTTTTTTCTAGTAATATATATATCTATCTTTTTCTAGTAATACATATATCTTTCGATTGAGCTGGTTAATTCAAAAAAACTGTATTATGTTATAAATAACTGTAGGTATCCTTTTGAAACGCTTTAGATACAAATGATTTCAATCTCGCACTGTAATGTCATGTCTGATAAAACCAAAAATATTCATTTGCTATCAGTATTTATACTTTACTTTTAATGTAATTATTGATTGAGTAATTCAGTGAAAGATTTCCTACACTTTTATTAAAATGGTTTGAAATATATAGCACGTATAATACGTAAACGAAAGAGTATATTTTTTGTATAATTAAATAATGTATTTGTATAATATGTATTAAAAATATTTTTTACGTATGTATACTTAAAATTAAAGCAAACAGTTATTTCATCATGTTAATGAATGTGTAAACCACCATTAATTATAGTCCATCTGAATGAATGCTAATAATAATTAACAGCGTGAAAAATACCACTTCAAATCAAAGTTAACTGGTGTAACGAAATATAAATGTATTATTACATTGTAGACAGCAATGTAACCAGCTTGTAAAGTAGGCATTTCATCATAAAATTTAATGTGTAATATAATTTGAAATGCTTAAAAGATTCATTAAACATTACATATCGTACTGCGACAGTCATTTTAAGGAGTCAGAAATCAAAACTCATAAATAGATATAAAAAATGCCGCTTTTTCCACCAGGTGGCGCTCTTTACCGTATAGTAATTTGCAACTCTGCCGTCCTCAAACTAAAGTGCGGCTAAGTAACATGTGGTCGATTTTTGACTCTTAAATTGCATCTTATATACTTTTTAATATTCTCAATCGATCCGTCTTTAACAAGTATTCGTATCTTTTATAGTTAAATTATAAAAATCCGTCATGTCATGAATGGTTACAAAATAGCAATAATTTACAGTTTACGCGCCGTTTTTTGGCCATATCTCAAAAGTTGGTTTTGACATTTAACCGCGTTTTAGCTTGAGGACGGCAGAACTAAGCTCTTTGCATCTTCATTTGATTAAATGAAGTTGCAAAGGGTAGGGCTTCATATTAGAAGCTTTGTCTTTAAGTCCAAAGAAGTTACAGTGAGAGGAGAAATGTCTCAGAATAGTAATTTTTCATGCAATATCTGTTGATCATCAACAATTTTGTCTTTATACTGGAGGTTTATTAGAGATGCTATTAATTGGATGGACCAATAGAGGTCAACTTGCGTATGGATTATGGATATATTGTAACTTATGAGAGCCTGATCAAATAAATGATTGGTTTTAAATTCGTCTTTGATTTCAAACAACAGAGGCCCAAGCGCGAATTTTGACAGCAATCGTTATCGTCATCGTCAAATTTTGTAAGTATGGAAGAAATTAGTTTTTTGTTACGTCCGATTGGGGCGCTGCTTAGTATTCATTTGAAACTTGACGATGCGATCGATTACGGTACCCCTAGCACGAACCATTATCGAATTCGAATAGTTTGCGAGTGCTAAATGTCAATGTCGAATTTTGTATGGAAACTTGAACAGCAGCGCTACAAAGTATGTAACGAGAACTAAAAATCAGTACACATTTGACAATGACTTTTCGGATTCGCAAACGTTACGAATTCGATATTGGTTCGTGCTAAGGGTCGCAGCTGTCGAAATTCGTACTTGGGCGTCAGGAATCCTTTTAGCTCGGCACATCACACGAACGTTGCAGTTTTACTGAAAGAATTTTAAACAGCTATTAGAAAGAATGTAGCTTTTGAAACGATGTTTTTCGCCTAAATGTTTAGATCCGCTGATAGAACATTTTCGTTGGTTCTGTGACCAAATCGAAAAAACAACTGTACCCTTAGCACGAACCAAAATCAAATTCGTAACGTTTGCGAGCCCGAAATGTCATTGTCAAATCTGTACTGATTTTTAGTTCTCGTTATGGACATTGTGCCGCTGCTGTTCAAGTTTCCCGTTCCCGTTACGCCCAAAGTGTGTGATAATGGTTCGTGCTAGGGGTACTATACCCCATTATCGAATTCGAATAGTTTGCAAACCGAAATGTCAATGTTAAATTTTGTATGGAAACTTGAACAACAGCGCCACTTTGGACGTAACGGGAACTACAAATCAGTACACATTTGACAATGACATTTCGGACTCGCAAACGTTACGAATTCGATTTTGGTTCGTGCTAGGGGTACTGTACTTAGAAACATTTTACGTAATGCTTCATTAAGTCACACCATGTCTCATACTATTGTTATTGCAAAGGAAGTGACAGCATCAACGTTAGTAAAACGAAAAGGAATGTTTATTGACGTGACAACGTCTTAAATTAGGTTGCGGCTGGGAGTCACTTATGAAAAAGTGTAACGCTCGGTAACGTTACGATGAGTTTAAGTTTACATGTACAATGTTTTAGTAAACAAAATATATTTCTATAGTTAAAATTTGTGCAATTCTTATTTTCATTCAATTCCTTGTTCCTATTGTGCAATTTAATTATATTCATATCAATAAATATTCTACCGAGAAAAAGACGTTGTCACGTAAAATCTTCGCCCGTAAAACCGACTTTACAGGCAACCATTTTTTTTTAAGTCTATTATTTAATGAAACTCTATAAAGGGAATTAGATTGGGAAATGTAATATTAAAAGACATAATTGGCAATAACAATAATTTATTAAGGAATGCTTTATGTAACTATAAACTAAGTAGATTTCTATGTATTTACATGCTTTTTACATAGCCATACATTTTCATATAATTAATTAAAAATCTCATTTATATAATTAATATTTAAACTTATAGAAACTGGTATTTATAATAATAATTAATCATGAGATCGACTTGTTCGATCTGCATAGTTTGTCCTGTTTATCAGGAGATAAAGTTGCTTTTTCATAAGTATATCTTTTATTAATTTCAACAATTACTGCTATGTAAAACTGGATTGTACAGTAATTGATATAACAATAATAATATTTGTTTCTTAAGTTTTCACTCGCATCACTCATTAAATAATACAGGTTTCAATGGGTTCGCTGCACACATTTTATTTATTTATTGACGCTGCGCATCCTTGTGTGTCGTCGGAATAATGATTCATCAATAATTATTCTGACGACGCATTCCTCAAACTTGTTTTATTTAATAACAATAATAATTTTAAATAGATAATGTAGATTCAATGAGATTTTACGAAATCACCAACAAAATGTTACTAAATAACTTAATTAACTTCACACACTGGAAACAGGTAATTCTTAGTTTTATATTATTGACCTGATTTCTGAGACTTCTCATGATTGGGCTATTAATTAGCTAGCTCGTTTTCGAGTATAGTAAATATAATATTTTTGATACAATAGCTCAATACTCGGTTAGGCCGACTCGTCCGAAATGTCGTAGAGATAGCCCCAGTGTCCGGGGCATTGCAGGAAGTATTTTCTTGCATGCTAAATCGACGTTTTTATTCGTGAATGAGATCTTAAAAAATAAAAAGTAGGATACGCGTTTAGGCTGACTTGTCCAAAATATCGTATAGATGGTCCCAGTGTCCGGGACATTGCAGAAAGTATTTCCTCGCGGCTGCGCAGAAACGACGCTTGTATTCGTCGGGCGATACAACGGTAGGCTGACCGGAGCCCAAGTTCTTCTTTACTAAGTGCTCGAGTTTCTTGTCCCATGTGAACGTGCGGATGTAGTCTATGGGGAAATTTACAGCTTTTTAGATTATGATGATAACAATATGGCGACCTTCGTGACCGAGGGGTTTGTACGCCGCACACTGGTCCGGATATTGAAAAAAGTGGACATTGGAAATATACGGATTTAAAAAATACTATCAGATAGTACTAATGAAACAGAACAATAAATTTTATATGCAACTTTGCAAAAAATGAGACCTACCAGTTTCGAAAAAAGAATTAGAATTATTTTTTTGAAACCGGTTTCGAGAACAGAAAAATATTAATGTTTTCGAAACCAGTCGCTTAAAAAAAAACATTTATATGTTTCCGAAACCGGAAGTAAAAATCTGTTTTTGAAAAAAAAGACCGTATAAGGACGGCGTTGTCAAAATGCCCATGACATTGGACTCTCGGATCCAGAAAGATAAATAAATAAATCGTTAGGAAGTAAAAGAAAGGGTATTTATACTTCGGGCCAATATTACTAATTAATGCAGTGGTTAATATTATGTACATTTTCCTAAAGTTGTTTTAAATATGTTTGTGCTACATACAACTGTTTCAAATCCAAATAAAATCTGGACCTATGAATTGAAGACAGACACAAAAACAGATTTTAGCTTTCAGTTTTGAAAACAGTACACATATTTATTTTTTGTTTCGAAAAAAGAAATATTTTTCTGTTTTCGAAACCGGTTTCAAAAGAAGAATTCTATTTTTTTCTCGAAACTGGTTTCGGAAACGGCCGAAGTGGTTTCGATCAACGGTCTGTGTGACTGTTTCAAGGTGAAATGTAAGCTCGTATTCCACCTGACTAAATTAAGACGTCCTAGTTAGGATCCTAAAAAGAAAGCTAATTAGAAGCTTCTGATTACACTTGACTAATTTAGTTACTGATTCAGTCAGTTGCAAGCGCGCGGCGAATTCAGTCTGACTTTTTCGTAATGTCCTGTCAAAGCAACAAAAATCGGACGGTAGGCCTGGCCATTGGCTCAATAAAAATAAAATAAAGTAAAAAATTAAAAACGTGACTGAAAGAATATTAATGTTATTTTTATTCTTTTTGTTCCAAAGATACGGCACATGTTTATACAATTCGATTATGTTACTCATAACTTCTTTTTCTTTTACCGCCGATATCGCGCACTTGCGTATTTCGTAATCGTAGACAAAATAACGTCCTCACGCAGTGACGCCTGCGGTGCAACTGAAGCATCTGAACCCTATCACACGTTCCTAAATTGCAATCTAATTAGGATACTAAATGATTTAGTCAGTCAGAAGCCACACTTCTTCCGATTTAGGATGCTAATTAAGATCCTAACTTCCTAAATGCTATTTCACTTGACTGAATTAGTTACTGAATGATTAAGAACGTCTGAATTTAGTCAGGTGGAATGCGCGATTTAAGTAGTAGTATACCTATGAGCCCCAGCACCAGCGCGTCCCCGTCGACCCCCAGCAGCAGCGAGTAGTCCATGACGGCGTGGCCGGCGAGGAAGTTTGTATCGCGTTCTATGCACGACCACACGACCGCGCCCGCGTGCCACAACACGTATAGCGGCCTCTCCCAACGTACTATATCACAAAAGTTAATATTACTTAATAATAATAAAAATAAGTTAAATTAAATAACAACCTTGTCCCTGAAATACAACCTTGTTGCTTCTGAGGTGCCATATTACAAGTATGTGCCCGACCCAGTTCTCGAAAGTGGTCATATCACGCTGTACTGGGACCGATCTATCATCACTGACAGGACTATTGTTGTTATATGATTATTATTTTAAAGCATGTAACTGCTTGATGTTTTAATCTAAAGAAAATGTAACTAGAAAAGAATCCACGCGGACCAGGCAGCAGACGGGATTCGAACCCGCACCCTTCGCAATCCGGGCGAATGCACTGACCAATTATGCTACCGCGGCCAACACGGACCACGTCGAAATTCTTCTAGCCATTCTTAAGCTGCAAGGCAGCGCCATCTCTTCGCCTATTGTGGGTTACCTATAATGCTAATTTTCTTTAGGACTATTGTTGCGAATAAGCCTGATATAGTGATGATAGATCGGGAAAAGCGTCTCGCAATGATAGTTGATGTGACCATCCATCATGAAGAGAACCTCATGAAGATAAACAAAAAAAATATCTTGACTTGGCTCATGAGGTTGTCGCCATGTGGGATGTTGACTCGGCTATCATTGTGCCGATAGTTGTGACGGTCAATGGCCTGATAGCCAAGAGCCTCGACTGTCATCTGCGGAGGCTCGGAGTTGGTGACTGGATCAAGGGCCTGATACAGAAGGCAGTGCTCCTTGACACGGCTCGCATAGTGAGGAGGTTCCTCTCTCTGGGGCCCTAACCACCGGTAGCTAGGACCCTGTTCCCGATGCCGGTTGGCTTCTATTTTTTATATTTTTAAATGTTTTTGTTTTTACATCAATTTTTAAAAATGTATGGTATAAAATAAATAAAGAGAATAATAATAAAAATTTATTGTCTTTTATCTTACATGTTAACAGATATTTAAATAAAATTTCATTAAAAATAAGAGGGAATGGCTCAGCCAATGTTGGTCAAATCTAGACCTGAACCTACGCTGTTTTTCAGCCACCCCTTAACAAATTTTACTTAAAATTAATAATATAGAGAGCCTCGAATTATCCATTATTTGATTATAATTAATATTGGAACATGCTTCGTGCATAAACGTATACTCCTACTTGCTATAGATGTACTCGCCCTACTCGTGCCTTCCATGCGTCACTGACTAGGCCTCAGTTGAAACAAAAAAGAGCGGTAAGTGGCTATGATAAGAATTAGACTTGCAAAGAATAGTATATTCGGCAATATACCGAATACCGAATATTCGGCGAGGCCCGAATAGCCGAATATTAGACAAAAGTCTTCGGCTGGATTTTAGCGCCAAAAACTTGTACAGACGTGATTGTTTCGCGCTCCTTTGTTTTGTTCTAATCTGCCGTCCTCAAGCTAAAATGCGGCTAAATGACAAAACGAACGTTTGGCCAAAAACGTGCGTAAACTTTAAATTATTGCTATTATGTAACCATTCATTACATGACTGAATGAATTAAAAACTGTTAACTTGTTTAGTACAGAAAATAATTAAATTATGTAGGTACCTGTTTTATGTACCCATGACTACTTAATAAATACTTAATTATATAACAGAAATGAAAATATGAATATATATGTAATCAATCGATTTTCATTTTGCATTTTACCAATTATTTCTCTATGACAAAATATATTTTTTAAGTATTCGGAATTCAGCCGAATAATATGTAGATATTCGGTATTCGGTCGAATATAATAAAAGCAGCCGAATAGGCCGAATACCGAATAGTAACCGAATATTCGTTGCAAGTCTAATAAGGATGCTTCAGGTTTTCCGCAGCAAGTTGTTTATGAAGTAAAGCTTCTTTGTAGTATTTTTTGAATTTTGATGTATTCATTTTACAACGAAGGGATGGAGTTTAGTTAAGTTTTTACTTTTAAAGCATTAAACTGTACCCCTAGCACGAACCATTATCGAATTCGAATAGCTTGCAAACCGAAATGTCAATGTCAATTTTTGTATGGAAACTTGAACAGCAGCGGCACATAGTACGTAACGAGAACTAAAAATCAGTACACATTTGACAATGACATTTCGGACTCGCAAACGATACGAATTCGATATTGGTTCGTGCTAGGGGTACTGCTAGATGTTTAAATCCGTTAAAATGTTTAATGCGGGTTCGAATCCCGTCTGCTGCCTGGACCGCGTGGTTTTTTTTTTTAGTAAACTTTTCTTTACATATAAATTTAATATTCATCATTAGCCTATTAATGTCCTCAGTGCTGAGGCACAGACCTTCCCTATGGATGGAATAGGGAGATTGGGCCATGACCTACCACGCGGGCCCAGTGCGGATTGGCGGGTGCTAACGACTGCAGATGCAGCCGGGACTAACGGCTTAACGTGCCTTCCGAAGCACGGAGAAACTCGAGATAGAAGATTTTTGGTCACCCATCCAATGACCGACCACTGCGAAAGTTGCTTAACTTCAACGATCGCAGCCGAACGCGCTAACCACCCGCGCCATCGAGTTCCTTAAAACTTAATATTCCTATTGTTGAAAATAAACCTCAGGATACATTTATCGGCCCACCTAGCATTTTAAGTTTGAAAGTCCCTAGCCAAATATAAATGTACGATTTAGCAAAAACTTTTAGAGTAGTTTTTACGCTGATTTATTAACCATATTTTTCGTATGTTTCTATTTGTTCATCCTAAAATATTTTTTTTCCTACAGACCTTATGAAATGAAACTAATAACAACACAAAGGGACTTTTTGGCGGGATCAGGAAGCGTTTAGCAGTTTTGTTTTTCTTGTTAAAAATTATGTTGTGGCGGATGTTAGTGTCTAATAATGGTGGATTATTAACCACTAAGTGTTCGGGAACATGCCCAAGTGTGAGCAAGTGAAACAAAATAGCGGAAAGTGTCTTTCGACGTTCCCTCAAGAAGTCCACGCGGAGGTTCCAGTAAATCCCTACACTTTTACTGAAACATGGGGAAAGGGGGATTGACTTGACTGCCAATTACTTTGACTTGACTTATTACTTTGACCACGAGTGCTATAGTATTTGTATACCTACATTTAACACTTGACATTGGCTAAATGCACAAGCCGTGCGAAGCCATATAGAAAAAAAAACACAAAGTGGGCCGATAGATGTGTCCGCAAGTGTGTATTCTTAATAAAAGTATTGCGAAAACGCCCTTGATAACTGAGTTACTCGACACAATTTTAAATGTTATAAGTATCTATAAGGAAAAGTTTACTAGAAAAAAAAAATCCACAGAGCAGGCAGCAGTCGGGACTCGAGCCCGCACCCTTCGCGCTATCTAATCCGGGCGAATGCACCGACCATTACGCTATCGCGGCCCTGACGGCCGTGTTGAATTTTCTGCAGCGCTAGGCAGCAAGCCAGCGCCATCTCCTCGCATTGTAGGTAACCCACAATTTCAAATGAATACCTTTACAGTTATAATTTTAATTTTTTAAGCATGTAACTGCTTGATGTTTAAATCTAAACAAAATATAACTAGAAAAAATTCCACGCGGACCAGGCAGCAGACGGGACTCGAACCCGCACCCTTCGCAATCCGGACGAATTGCACTGACCAATTATGCTACCGCGGCCCTCGCGGATCGCGTCGAAATTCTTCTAGCCATTAGCCATTCTCAAGCTGCAAGGCAGCGCCATTTCTTCGCATTGTAGGTGACCCACAATGTCAAATGAATACTTTTACAAGTATTAAACATTTGAAAGAAGAAATAGCAATTATAGTTATAATTTTATTTTTTTAAGCATGTAACGGGTTCTAAATACACCTGCAAGAACCCAAGCCAACCTCACCTTCACGTGGTGCACCCTGTTGACCAACAGACGAGGCTCTGGCAAACCGACCGATGGCGGTATAACCATCCAATGAGGTAGGGGAGGAAAATGTCACTGGTGACGGGCAGCAGCGTCATCAGTAAATAAACCTACGCTCTGCGATCGCCAACCCGCCTGCCCATCGTGGCGATTATGGGCAAAACCTTCATGCACAAGAAACTCAAGCCACGGCCCCCAGTTCCCGGCAGCCCCGCTATTCCTGGTCACGGTGGCGACCACGGTAACGGTGGGGCGGGGGGTGCCAAGAATCTCCGGGCTACGGGAGGCCACCACAAAAGACTGACCCTGGCGACGTACAACGGACGCACGCTACGGCTTGACTCGCATCTGGCGCAACTCGAGGTGGAACTTGGAAAGATTAGGTGGCACATTTTAGGGTTAAGTGAAGTCCGAAGAGAGGGGGAGGACACCATAACCCTCGAATCGGGCCACCTAATGTACTTCCGCGGGGGAGACCAACAGTCCCAAGGTGGCGTTGGGTTTTTGGTAAATAAGTCCCTTGCCGATAACGTTGTGGAAATGTCCAGCGTGTCGAACAGGGTAGTGTACCTTATTATAAAGCTCACCGAGAGGTATAGCCTCAAGGTGGTGCAAGTGTACGCACCGACCTCGACACACTCGGACGACGAAGTGGAGGATATGTTCGATGATATATCGAGGGCCCTCCACTCCACTACTAAGACCCACTACAACGTTGTTATGGGGGACTTCAACGCTAAAGTGGGAGTACAGAATTGCAGCGAATCGGTAGTAGGATCCCATGGATTTGGAAGCAGAAATCATAGGGGGCAAATGCTCGTCAACTTCCTCGAACAGCAGGGGCTCTTCTTGATGAACTCTTTTTTCAAGAAACAGCCCCAAAGGAAGTGGACATGGCAGAGCCCCGACACTATGACTAAAAATGAGATCGATTTCATCATGACGGACAAGAGGTACATATTCAGAGACGTCTCCGTGATCAACAGGTTCAATACCGGTAGTGATCACCGACTCGTCCGGGGCTCTCTGAATATCAACTTTAAGGCCGAGCGCGTCCGTTTAATGAAATCCAGGCTCCAACCTACTTTGCTCCAATCTATAACAGGATCTGAAACGTTTCAGTCAAATCTGGAGAACCGATTTGCTGCCGTGGAAACCACATCAGACGTAAACCAAAACCTCGAAAATGTGGTTCGGATTCTCAGGGAAGAGGGTACGAAACTATGTGCAACGCAGCGTAAGGGCAGGAAGTCAAAGCTTTCGGAAGAGACTTTAGGGCTAATGAAGGAACGACGTGAAAACCCACCCGTCACTTCGTCGGCAAAGCGGACTCTAAACCAAGAGATCAGTAAGCACGTACGACACGACCTCCGATGCTCCAATACTCTCTCGATCGAGAGAGCGATCGAGCAGAATCGAGGGTCCAAAGTGTTCGTACAATCTCTTGGAAGAAGCCATCTGACGAAGTTGACCACAGCAAGTGGGGAAGTTGTTGCTTCAAAGCCGGCAGTCCTTTCGGAAGTGGAAGACTTCTACAGCCAGTTATACGCATCACATGCATCTCGACCTGATCCCGGAAATGAGGATTCTAGAGCCACATTAACACGCCACTTCACCGAAGACCTGCCAGAAGTCAGTATTGGCGAAATCGAGATTGCTCTTGGACAGCTTAAAAATGGAAAAGCCCCTGGAGAGGATGGTGTTACAACAGAACTCTTGAAGGCTGGAGGTAAACCCGTACTGAGGGAGCTCCAAAAGCTTTTTAACACTGTTCTGTTCGAAGGGAGAACTCCGGAGGCGTGGAGCAGGAGTGTGGTCGTCTTGTTCTTTAAAAAGGGGGACAAGACCCTACTTAAGAACTATCGACCCATATCCCTTCTAAGCCACGTCTATAAGCTGTTCTCAAGAGTGATCGCGAACCGTCTTGCGCGAAGATTTGATGACTTCCAACCACCGGAACAGGCTGGGTTTCGGAGCGGATACGGCACCATAGACCACATCCACACAGTGCGGCAGATTATACAGAAGACTGAGGAGTACAATCAGCCCCTGTGCCTAGCATTTGTGGACTATGAGAAGGCCTTTGACTCGATTGAAATCTGGTCTGTCCTGGAGTCCCTGCAGCGTTGCCAAGTCGACTGGCGATACATCCAAGTGATAAGATGTCTCTACGAAGCCGCCACCATGTCTGTCCAAGTACAGAATCAGCAAACAAGTCCCATACCGTTGCATCGTGGAGTGAGACAAGGGGACGTTATTTCCCCGAAATTGTTCACTAATGCAATGGAGGATATGTTCAAGACGCTGAACTGGAAACGACATGGCATCAACATAAATGGCGAACGCATCTCTCACTTGCGATTTGCAGACGACATCGTCATCATGGCAGAAACCCTGCAGGACCTACAACAGATGCTGAATGACTTGGCTGACTCTTCTATACGCATCGGCCTACGGATGAACTTGGATAAAACCAAGGTCATGTTCAATGAACATGTTCTACCGGAACCGATTGCAATACACGGTGCCGTTCTCGAAGTTGTTCAAAAATATGTATACCTCGGGCAGACATTGCAGTTAGGTAGAAACAACTTTGAGGACGAGGTGAATAGAAGAGTTCGGCTAGGTTGGGCAGCGTTTGGGAAGCTACGTCAAGTCCTGACATCGTCGATCCCACAGTGCCTAAAGACGAAAGTCTTCAATCAGTGCGTCCTACCTGTGATGACATACGGAGCCGAGACGTGGACACTGACGGCACGGCTGATCCACAGGTTCAAAGTCGCTCAACGCGCTATGGAAAGGGCTATGCTCGGCGTTTCTCTGAAAGATCGCATCAGAAATGAGGTAATCCGACAGAGAACCAGAGTTATCGACATAGCCCACCGGATTAGCAAGTTGAAGTGGCAGTGGGCTGGCCATATTTGCCGAAGAACCGATAACCGTTGGGGTAGACGAGTTCTGGAGTGGAGACCGCGTCTAGGCAAACGTAGTGTAGGACGTCCTCAGGCACGATGGAGTGACGATTTGCGCAAGGTGGCTGGCAGGAGCTGGATGCGAGTAGCCCAAGATCGATCTGAGTGGCGTGCATTTGGAGAGGCCTATGTCCAGCAGTGGACTATGATAGGCTGTTGATGAAGCATGTAACTGCTTGATGTGTAAATCTAAAGAAAATATGACTAGAAAAAATTCCACGAGGACCAGGCAGCAAACGGGACTCGAACCCGCACCCTTTACAGTTATTGATTGACTTTTTTTATGTTATAGGTGGCATACGAGCAGACGGCTCACCTGATGGTAAGTGATCACCGTCGCCCATGGACACTTGCAACACCAGGAGTATCACAAATGCGATGCCGGCCTTTAAGGAAGGGGTACGCTCTTTTTCTGAAGGTTTTTTTGACTCACAGTGCAGCAAGTTCTCGTCCATAAGCACGGGCGTGTCGGTGGCGAGGCGATGCCGCGAGGACCCCTTGAGGTCGAACCGCGTAGTGTTGGTCCCGCACCCGTACCAAACATTCTCCATCACCAGGATCCCGTTGCCGGCTCCACCCACGCTGTATACGCCCACTATGCGCGCTGGAAACACAAAATAAACTTATGTCTACTCTGTCAAGCGGAAGAAACTCGGGCTCAGTGTTTTTTTTTGATGTGTAACATCTTTCCTCTCGCTTTCGTGCAATTTGTGGGAGTGATTACGTGAAGTGGGACGGAGTTGTGTAACAGAAAGTTTGGGAAGCGCGCGTATTTGATTTGATTTTGGAACATAATCTTCAAATGGCTTATTCCTTTTGTAGTAGGTTTTATTTCTTTTTTTTACACATCATACGCGACTACTGTAAGGCTCGCTCGTTTCTTTTTTAATATTTCCAACACACTAATTATCCTAGCCCCAAAGTAAGCACTATAAGCCTTGCGTTATGGGATACTAGGGTAACGGATAGAATACATATACTGTACATATATAACTATATTTATATAGAAATACATATTAAACATCCATGACTGGAGTACAAATGCTTGTAATCATCACACAAACATCTGCCCCCACCCGGATTCGAACCCAGGACCTCTCGAGTCGGCGACACCATGAAACCCGGCGTACAAACCACTCAGCCACGCAGGTCGCCAAAATATAGACATAAATAATTAATAAAAAATATAAACATAAACCGTGTAAAATACAAACATAATAAAAATAGATAGCGGTTTAAACCGGTTCGAGATATCGTGTCCGTGAGCGGTGTCTCTGTGTGTGCGTTACTCGTGCACACTTTGTATGTAGATTACCTACAGTAATCTTTATATAAAGATTTAAATGTTTATCAGTAGGTGTAATCTACATACAAAGATTTAAATGTTTATCAGTAGGTAAATTGTAATATGTTTACCTACTGATAAACATTTAAATTTTTATATAAAGATAATGGTGTCGATTCTGACGTGATTCTCTAAACTTAAAACTAAATTTAACATCAGTCTCTCCTTTTCATTCTGTATAGAGAATGACAAGGATATACTGCTGTCAAATTTAAGTTTAGGTTTAGAGAATCATGCTAGAATCGACACCATTGTACATACAAAGTGCGCTCAAGTAACGCACTCACGGATACTGCTCACGGACACGATATCTCGAACCGGTTCAAACCACACGAGTTTCTTCTGTTTGAGACACGCGTCTGTAACTTTTCTGAGCAAAAATGGAGGAACAAACAACAAGTTAATAATACATCATGCATTTTCAGTCACCCGAGAAACTTAAAATCGTCACGTCACGATTTGGTACAATTTTCACTTAAAAGTGACGTCACGAGCCCCTACTCCCAAACTTTGGCTATAACTTCGTCATTTGTTGGTTGATTGCCCAAAGAAAAAAATACGTGTCCATTATTTTTTGATCATCTAACTGACGGACTAAATAGAATTCCGTTTACTGTACTCCGTCATCACCCCTATTATTATCCCTGTAAAGGGATAATAAAAGTAGATTTATTTGAATCAATTTATGTAATAATCAATTATTGTAATTGGGGAATTAATGAGTTCAGGTGGAGACTTTTTTCGAAAAAAAAAAATGTTGAAAACAATTTTTATTTGCGGAAATATAACCTAAATCATAGTCTGAATAAGCTACTAAAATTTATTAGGTAACTCAAAATTTACAGTGTATATCGGTTCAATAGACAGTTGTTTGAATTCAATATTATTATAAGATGTGAATTGTCATTTTTTAAAATTTGTAATTTCATTAATCGCTCCTATTAGTCTTATCATGATATTGTATAGCATATAACCTTCCTCGATAAATAGGCTATCTATCACAAAAATATTTTTTCAATTTGAATTAGTTTCTGAGGTTAGCGCGTTCAACCAGCCAACTAAACAAATCTTCAGCTTAATAATATTAGTATAGATGAGAGAAAAAAATTATTAAGAAAACAGATAAAGTGCGACTCCAGTTCTAGAAAAAATGATGCTGATTATGAACATAAAAGCTATACCATATGCACAAACAGCCAAACAACATCCACTTTAGCTCATAGTAGAAATCTTACCTAGTAAACTTGGTAGGTTGTTCTGATGGCAGTTGATGACGTAGTTGAAGTAATGCGGCGCAAACTCCAGGAATTGTTGCCACTCCGGCTTCGTCATCTCCTTTAGAACGTATCTGTCGTCTGGGATACAAAGGTTTGATTAGTATGTAATGATTTATTTATATATATATATTATTATAGGAAACCTTATGATTTGCACTTTTTTTTATTGTACAGCTTAGGTAAGGTAGCAATGGTAAAAAGTAAAAACTCCTAAATTTTAAAATTATAAAAATTGTGATAAATAATATCGACGTTAAATTTTATGATAATCTATACATTAGGTTAGGTACAGTTTCAATCTTGGTACCTATGTCAATTTACCTTGAGTCTTAGAACCAACCATACATTTCAATGTACATAAACAGGATTTTCATTTTATTTTATTAAAAATAATTCCACAGTATACGAAAGGACTGTTTTCTGAGTCCCGACGGCGCCCCTCGGTTGCTGAACAATTTCACAACCGTTTCAACGCGATAAAATTCAAAAAGCTACACTATGTCTTACGAAATAAAGTCTAATTTACCTTTAGTCTTAAAGAAGTTAGCCTGATTTTTTTTATTCTGTGGCTGTTTCCGTTTTACACAGAAATTCCGCCAATGTACCGTAGTGAGAGAGACACGATATGAGATATTGCTCGGTATTTATACAAATAAAGATTATTTCTCACCACGCGCCCACGGCACGCAGTGTGCCAACGAGCTGATGAACCCTTCCTAAATCTCACACAATCTCTAACCAGATAACAATGTACTTAATGACCTACTACATAAAGTTCAATTTACCTTTAGTCTTACAGAAGGTGGATCCGGATTTCCCACCGCGTGCCGCCCACGGCACGCAATGCGCCAGCGAGCGGATGAAACCCTCCTCGATCTCACACAAACTTTTACCTGACAATACAATTTTATTGTTATATGTCATCATCATCATCATCAGCCTATTAATGTCCCCACTGCTGGGGCACAGGCCTTCCCTATGGATGGAATAGGGAGATTGGGCCATGACTCACCACGCGGGCCCAGTGCGGATTGGTGGGTGCTAACGATTGCAGATGCAGCCGGGACCAACGGCTTAACGTGCCTTCCGAAGCACGGCGGAGCTCGAGATAGCAATTTTTGGTCACCCATCTAATGACCGACCACTGCGAAAGTTGCTTAAGTTCAACGATCGCAGCCGAACGCGCTAACCACTTGCGCCATCGAGCTCCTCATTGTTATATGTAACACAATTTAATTTTTATATTGTTATTACAATAATTTAAACAATATTATTAAACGAAATAGAAATAATACTGCACTCCGAAAAAGTTTAAAACCGCTAGATTTTATTAATACGGAAAATATAATACAATATGTATTTTATTTTAAGTAGTTAATTCTTTTTAAATTTAGAAAATGATTAGTTTTAAGCTTTTGTTATTTTCATATTAATATGTAAATATAATAAAGGTTGACCTCCGAAAAATATAATGACATGAACATGATAAGATTCACACACACATCAATCACTCACACCCACGCACGCACACACACAAAACACCTAACAAACTCTGTTGGCTATTTTATTGAATTTATAACCTAAAACAGTTATCTGGATTACTAAATAGTACACAAAATTATGAATGGGGTGGAGGGTTGATTACCTGAAAGGTAGGATCCATCCTAGTTCAGGTGTCAACCCACCATATACTGATCAATACTTAGCTGTTTTTTTGGTAAAAAATATAATGTTTTTATGTGATTGATTGCTGTTTTGTGTGTTTGTTTGTAGCCATTAATGTGAACATTGTGATTATGGTGAGAAGTAAAGGTTATTATTATTGTTTCAAAAGTGGCCGTTTTTCTTCTGTATGCAACGATATTAAATACCCCACACACAATTACATTCAAAAAAAAAATTAAATAAAATGACTTTTTGTTGGTACCAAGTATTTTTTTTGCCGGTATAGCACATAAAATTGCAGGACCCGCTTTCTTCACTTATGACCTCCAACACCACTTAAAATTATGATGAGGTGAAAATATTTTTTCGAACCGAAATCTAAATAAAACTAATAAACAGCCATTCATTTCATACCGGAAAATTAATATCTCTGCTGCAACTGAACTGCACTCTCTGCACTGCATTGTTATTTGTTCTTGAACAAATTGCTGCACTGTTTAAAAGCATCGAAGGCATTGTTCCATTTGCGGCGTGTTTGCTTGTCATATTTTGACTAAAGCGAATTGTGTGGAGCTCGATGGCGCAAGTGGTTAGCGCGTTTGGCTGCGATCGTTGAAGTTAAGCAACTTTCGTAGTGGTCGGTCATTGGATGGGTGATCAAAAAAAACTTACTATCTCGAGCTCCTTCGTGCTTCGGTAGGCACGTGAAGCCGTTGGTCCCGGCTGCATCTGCAGTCGTTAGCACCCAATAATCCGCACTGGGCCCGCGTGGTGGGTCATGGCCCAATCTCTCTATTCCATCCATAGGAAAGGCCTGTGCCCCAGCAGTGGGGACATTAATAGGCTGATCATGATGAATTGTGTGCATGCACCAAAATTAAACGCCGCTTTTGAGACGCGAATGTGAAGATACAATATTCGCGTCTTCGATTTAATCTAAGCGTTTTTCGTGGCAATGAAACAGTTAGTCGGCAGTTGATCCAATTTTATACATTATTGAGCTACCTGCTAGATTGACTTAATAATAATTGGCACTTACCGTCAGTCTTATCCTTATCATCGCTGCAACACTTGACGTCGTTAGTGGAATGTTCTAGCGGCGTGGTGAGGAATTCGTCAGTAATGTTCTGGTTGTTGGACAGTGGCGCGAGTAACATGTGTCGAAGCTTCTGGAACTGGGGCGCGTAATAAACGCGGCACAATAGCCCGTCCTGATTGGTGGATATAAGAAACGAATGTTGAGCAATTTGGCAAAGATAATTGTTACATTGATTTTTTTAATTAGTAATATTTCAGACAAAAGGTGTTTTTACAAAAAATAGGAATAATAGAATAGGGTATTTGACAAGTTTTAGAAAACGATCTCACGTTATTGACTAATGTTTATGGATTCAGTAAAAATAACCAATTCAAAAACTCCATTTTCAAGTTGCCGCGAAAACGTTTCTCTGGACAATATGGCGTCTTACTAGTGTGTGACGTCACAGGACTGTTATTAAAACGTCAAACGATACAATGTAATGTCACTTTAACCGGAAGTTTAATTGCGTGTGACGTCATTTTAGGCTCCGCCAATCCCAAGCGTTTTGAGTAACGTGACAATAGTTAAGAAAACTATTATCTTTTTCGTGGGGTTTAAGTAAAATTATGAATATTTTTTTTGTAAATATAGTAAAATCCCCTGCCAATATTCATTCTAAATACAGATGCTAACAATTGGCACTTTATTTTTAATACTGTCAAATACCCTATTGAATATAATCAAGTTTTATTTTGTGCTGCTTGTAACATCGATTGAGACATTTTACAAGCTTCAAACCAGTGATGAAGGAGAAACAGTAATGAGTTTTATTTTTCATGTGTTTTATTTGTCTTACATCTCGCTTTCCTGCAATTTGTGGGAGTGATTTCGTGAAATGGGTCGGAAGTGTGTAACAGGAAGTCGGGAAAGCGCGCGCTATTTGATTTGATTTTAGAACATAATGTTCAAATGGCTTTTTCTTTTTGTAGTAGGTTTTATTTCTTTTTTTAATAATTTTATAAGGCGAGGTTTCAAATGTTACACATCATACGCGGCTACTGTAAGGCTCGCTCGTTTTTTTATTTTCTATTTATTTGGTTCGGTAGACTCCTTAATATTTCTTTAAGTTAAAAGAAATTAAAGTACAAGTACCTTTAGTAAGACTTCGATGTGGTCGTTGGACTTGGCTGCTTTGGTCTTATCGCCTTCGGTCTTCTCTTTGGCGGGCACAGTTTCCGTTTCGTCAGGTTCCGTTTGAGTACTGAAAATGATATCTGGTTAGGAAAACCTCAATGGTCAGGTGTGTTCATAGCTCAAGATTCTTTCGAACCTATTTGCAGTGATAGTTAGTTCAGAAACAAAATGTCCGTACATATAAATTAGCCTAAAATCCAATACTATTGTGATAGAAAAATAGAGCGATTTATTATTAGTAGTATAGATATATTATAGAGACTAGATGAATACAATATGACCTGAAATACACTTCAGTGTTCCTGCAGAAGCAGAAAAGTGTTAAAGAGACGCGAGATATTAGAATTTTTCTGACAGATGGCTCAGGAATACTGGGTCCATTCTCTCTATGTGTATGGATGGAACACTGTTCATCGTTTCACCATACAAATGGTAACCTTTGTCTTTGCTGCCTCATCGTCCTCTGGTATGTGATTGAAGCTAAAGTAGCGGCGATCACGGAGCCAATTTCGCCGCAATACTCCGGTCGATATTAATAATTATCGTTGCTATGGGTGGAACACTGTTCATCGTTTCACCATACAAATGGTAACCTTTGTCTTTGCTGCCTCATCGTCCTCTGGTATGTGATTGAAGCTAAGGTAGCGGCGATCACGGAGCCAATTTCGCCGCAATACTCCGGTCGATATTAATAATTATCGTTGCTATGGGTGGAACACTGTTCATCGTTTCACCATACAAATGGTAACCTTTGTCTTTGCTGCCTCATCGTCCTCTGGTATGTGATTGAAGCTAAGGTAGCGGCGATCACGGAGCCAATTTCGCCGCAATACTCCGGTCGATATTAATAATTATCGTTGCTATGGGTGGAACACTGTTCATCGTTTTACTATACAAATGGTTACCTTTGTCTTTGCTGCCTCATCGTCCTCTGGTAAGTGATTGAGGCTGAAGTAGCGGCGATAACGGAGCCGATGTCGCCGCAATACTTCGGTCGATATTATTTATTATCGTTGCTATGGGTGGAACACTGTTCATCGTTTTACTATACAAATGGTTACCTTTGTCTTTGCTGCCTCATCGTCCTCTGGTAAGTGATTGAGGCTGAAGTAGCGGCGATAACGGAGCCGATGTCGCCGCAATACTTCGGTCGATATTATTTATTATCGTTGCTATGGGTGGAACACTGTTCATCGTTTTACCACATAATGGTTACCTTTGTCTTTGCTGCCTCATCGTCCTCTGGTAAGTGATTGGGGCTAAATTAGCGGCGATAACGGAGCCGTTGTCGCAATACTCCGGTCGATATTAATAATTATCGTTGCTATGGGTGGAACACTGTTCATCGTTTTACCATACAAATGGTTACCTTTGTCTTTGCTGCCTCATCGTCCTCTGGTAAGTGATTGAGGCTAAAGTAGCGGCGATCACGGAGCCGATGTCGCCGCAATACTCCGGTCGATATTATTTATTATCGTTGCTATGGGTGGAACACTGTTCATCGTTTTACTATACAAATGGTTACCTTTGTCTTTGCTGCATCATCGTCCTCTGGTAAGTGAATGAGGCTGAAGTAGCGGCGATAACGGAGCCGATGTCGCCGCAATACTTCGGTCGATATTATTTATTATCGTTGCTATGGGTGGAACACTGTTCATCGTTTTACCATACAAATGGTTACCTTTGTCTTTGCTGCCTCATCGTCCTCTGGTTAGTGATTGAGGCTAAAGTAGCGGCGATCACGGAGCCGATGTCGCAATACTCCGGTCGATACTATTTATTATTATTGCTACGGGTGGAACACTGTTCATCGTTTTACTATACAAATGGTTACCTTTGTCTTTGCTGCATCATCGTCCTCTGGTAAGTGAATGAGGCTGAAGTAGCGGCGATAACGGAGCCGATGTCGCCGCAATACTTCGGTCGATATTATTTATTATCGTTGCTATGGGTGGAACACTGTTCATCGTTTTACCATACAAACGGTTACCTTTGTCTTTGCTGCCTCATCGTCCTCTGGTAAGTGATTGAGGCTAAAGTAGCGGCGATCACGGAGCCGATTTTGCCGCAATACTCCGGTCGATATTATTTATTATCGTTGCTATGGGTGGAAGGAACACTGTTCATCGTTTTACCATACAAATGGTTACCTTTGTTTTTGCTGCCTCATCGTACTCTGGTAAGTGATTGAGGCTAAAGTAGCGGCGATCACGGAGCCGATTTCGCCGCAATACTCCGGTCGATATTATTTATTATCGTTGCTATGGGTGGAAGGAACACTGTTCATCGTTTTACGATACAAATGATTACCTTTGTCTTTGCTGCCTCATCGTCCTCTGGTATGTGATTGAAGCTAAAGTAGCGGCGATCACGGAGCCGATGTCACCCGCGCAGACCACCACGGGCAACACTCCGGACGATATTATGATACCAACCTGCATATTTAACATTATAAACTTCATTAAGAAAAAAAAATACTTGAAGTAATCTACATTAATCAGGCGTCGGACAGTCAGTCAGACAGGATGCGGATTTTTTTCTATTTTATTTATAATTTTATTTATTAATGAATTCTGAAACTTCGGAACCCTCCAACCCTGATACAGTGAGAGAGTAAGCTGCGCCAGGGTCCTGATTGACCGTCTTAGTTTTAGTGACAATTTTTTTTTCTTAGGTTGTTTTTTTCTGTTTCTATAAGTAGGTTTTTTATTGTATATAAGATGGCCAATAAAGGTTTTTCATTTCATTTCAACCCCATGCCATACAATGTCACACTTCGTCAACCCCCTCCCTTCCTCTAAACGTGTGACGTACTTTATGCATGACCCCTTATTAAATCAAACTTAAAATCAGCATTATTTACCTGGTTTGAAGGTTGATTGTTGGACAGCAACTGTGAGAGTATTTGCCTTACTGTCTTCTTATCTCCCTTCTCTTCGTCTTCTTCGGTACCTAAAAGTGAAAAGAGGTGCTTTGGCGCTTATATCATGAAGGTTTATACGCAGGATTCCGCCGTACAATTTATTTGCATCGAGGGCGAATTTTCAATCCAGATCGCCTTAGATATTCGGAAAATGCTTCAAATTGACTAACCAATATGTATTTGCAACCTTAAATCTTACTCGTCCAATATTATCACATAAAATTTCAACTATGTTTAAAAAAAAAACATAGATGCATATTTTGGTTAAGTAAGTTAAGTTTGGTTGTAAATTGAAAAAAATGCCATAAAAAAACTTTAACAGAAAATATAAAATATCGATTGATTCATGTGTGCCTTGAAATTTATAATATAATATATTTACTTATAGTCAATAAGTAACTGTATGTACAGATCATAATTATGCTAAAGGAAATTAGGGACAATTTGCAATGACACAACAAAGTTAAAATCCCAAAGTATTAGTATTATACACAAAGGATGTTGAATGGATTTAAATATTAGAGACCCCGTAAACTAGCGTGTTTCAAGCGTTGTCATCGTGCCAGCGTCCTCGCAACATTGACGCGACTTCGACCCGACGGCAACGACGCGATACTAACGCTGCATTAAGATTTGTTCTCTTGATCGTAACGCACAACGCAGAGCGTCATGACTAAGAGATCGGATAATCGGACGCATATATAACTACTAGCGGCCCGCCTTCGCTTCGCTTCGGTGTAGAGCTGAAGTGTAGACTACAGTTTTTGTTCTCAGGCTTGTATTATACACAATGACATTCATCTATGATTCTTCTTATACCTGCATGCAAAGTTTCATACAAACTTTCATTCCCTATTTTGTCCCCTTGGAGGTAGAATTGATCAAAATCCACCTGCATGCCAAATTTCAGCCCGATCCGTCCAGTGGTTTGGGCTGTGCGTTGATAGATCACTATGTCAGTCAACCTTTGAGTTTTATATATATAGATGGTAATTTTTTGAAATTTTTATTATAAATAAAATCCCGTGAAACGCATAACTACTTTTCATTTGTGTCAAACTGGGTTTATTATATCTCACTTAAATTAGAATTTTCCAGGGTCACGGGATTATTACGCTAAAAATTTGCTTTCCATAACAGGCAATAAATCTCAACTTTAGGTAAATATGCGTCCGATTATCGGATCTCTAATCATGACGAAGCGTATACCGTCTATACAGAGAAGTAACATGTTGATTTTGCCACAAAGAAACAAATTAATTGATAACCCAACCCGTGCCGCACACCGCTGCGAATGAACGAGACCCCACTTCACTGCGACGGAACAAAATACCATTCTAGATGTTTTTCATACGATTATGTGTCTGGCACCGCATGCCGCGTACTGCAACTTTGTGCGTTACGATCAAGAGACCAAAGCTGAAGCCCAGGGTTCCGCAGCAGCGCATCGACTTCGCATTTTATGAACTCTTCCTTCACTTTTTTATACTCTATGGAACATGAGCTATTACATTTTATTTCAATTTCAGCATCAGCATATCGATAGATAAATCAATTTGTAGGGAAATCACATCTAGTACGTTCCTCGATTTAATGAAACTTGATTTAGATAAAGTGATTAAAATCATAATTTATAGGTGATTTTCGTAATATTCAACCATTGTTTTATTAATTAATTAGCTTTTTCATAATTAATACTAAGTCTCGGCTAATAGAGGTTTTCAACATAGAAATATATTAAAAATCCCAAAAGATTAAAGAATAGATGATAATAATGAGATGATGCAAAATTAACATTGTTATTAATGAGTTCTATCTACATGTAATTAAGTTCAATTTTCTATACCACAAAGCACATTCGTTAACCTAAACTAACATTTAGTACACAGATTAATTTGGTTAACAGATTAATAGAGAATTTACTTTAGACATTAAGCGTTATTCGCTTCGCAACGAAGAGAAGAAAAGAGACAGAGTGCTTTACATTCAAGTGTGATATAACATAATATCTTACACACCTGTTATTTCCTTACTGGTATTATCTGAAGCAAAAACATACGTCGTCCCTAAATAACGAATTACACAAGTTTAGAATGTTCATCAATTATTTCTACATACGTTTTATAAATAAAAGGTAATTGTTTTAGTGTTCAGTTCTTGCCTAATAATAAGAGGGTAATTTAAAATTGATTCACTAATTTTGGTCGGGTATAAACGTCTTGCGATTGCTCGGCCACACTCCTTATTACGCGCGCGCTCGGGATGAACGCTTTTTCTCGTCGTGTCTAAAACACCAACGTTTGGTGGAAAGAACAACGATATTAAATACCCTAGATACACCACGTGCGCTCAAAATGTCCCAATCATGAAGTGCTTGAACACCACTCAAGCACTTGTTGGTTCAGTCACACGCAGTTGAAAAGTTAAGATGCCGCAGAGCTCCGTGAAAAATACGAAATTAATACTTATAGTAGATAAAGTGTCTTTTTTTCGACAGCTAATAATATAATATATGTTTAAAACACATTTGAAGCAAATTATGTTCTAATACTTACTAAAAACTGATTGAATAGAAAATATTTATAAGAACCTGCTATATTGCTAACAGCCCATTCAGAATTGCGCGTAGAGTCAAAGAAATAAGGTCTATATACTTACGCGTTTAACAATGAGTTTACGCGAATTTTACAAGCTTGCATTTTGAACTCTCGTAACTCTTTGACGCATACATTTTAATTAAGACCTTATACAGTATGCATTAAAGGTGACTTTGAATTTGGTGACTCTGATGAAAAAATTGTTTTTGACTACGCGGTCATCTTACGGAGCTATGTGGATCGTCCAATGTACCTTCTGGACAGGTTTCAGCCACGATTTGTTCGTGATGTTGTATCTAGGGTATTTAATATCGTTGGGAAAGAAGTGTCCACAGTTCATAGCCGTGCTATGGACCTTTGGCTGGAGTGAAAGTTCTTGCTGCAACACCGCGGCGCAGTGCGCTGGTCTCCGGAGTTGGTGACATTCACTTGCGAAGGTAGATCAATTCAATTCAATCAAGGTAGGTCAAGGTTAGTGGCTTTTATTTATCCTCTTGATTTGGCAAGGACTATGAATATCACTCTACTTCCATCATATTAACACCTCACATATCACACATACAGTCCACTCACCCATAAAATTACCCACGAATGTTAAAATTGTGTAACAACCGCACAATTTCTTCTGGTCCTTCAAGCCGGATATTTTATTGTTTTTTTAATTTCATACCTTATTTATAATATTAAATATTCAACAAAAGTAAGAAACTTAAATAAAATCACTTATTTTTAAATTGCTTTTGTTTTCTACCTTCATAAAAATTCAAATGTCGTTAATTGAGTCTCAATGTTATGAAAATCTTCCGCGGCGCCGCGCGCTGGACTCCGCAGTTGGTGACATTCACTTACGAAGGTAGATGGTCAAGGTAAGTAGATTTTACTTATCCTCTTGATTTAGCAAGGACTGTGAATATCACTCTACTTTCATCATATAAACTCCTCACACATCACATATACATTTACAAATGCTGTACCAGCTATCTTCGCGTTTGGACTTTATCACCACTTAACATCAGGTAGGGTAAAGTCACTTGCCTACCTGGCTGTATATATATAAATACAGTCCTCTTACACATTAAAATATTCTTACCTTTCTCTTAATATTAAACTTATTAACCAGCGTTAGTTAACACAGTTAGTTTAGTATTTATTCTAGAGGTTAGTTTGAAGAGTATATTGAAGTAATTTTACCTGAACTGTCGTTGGCACTTTCACCGGCTGAGTCTTCCAAGTCAGACTTCTCCTCAACTAGAAACAATTGTCTTCTTATCAATCAATTGTAATTTCTATAATATTATAATCGTTATCGGACTATAAAAGTCCAAACTGCTAGAACATGGGCTTTCTCTAAGCTCGGAATGCCGGAAGATATTAAAAAAACAAGGTATAATGAGGATCATTTCCAGCAAATCAACTCAAAATCAACAGTATATTGATCTAATAAGTTTTTTAATTAATATACTTTTTAAATCGTCGAAATCGGTTCATTCGTTGCGATTTTATAACTAATTTTATGGTAGCCAATATTCAGTAGCGTCTCTACGTACGCTCGCGGCCGAGCGCTAGAGCTCTGTGACGTTACATCCACCACGCGGGTAGCCGAAAATACGTTTAGTATTTTGGTCATAACTTCGTCAATATTTATCGTACAACAAAAATTTAATCACCGTATTTTATGGAATACCTAGCTCTATAAATCTGCATTGTCAACTAAAATCGTTACGGATCATTATTAAATTGAAATAATATTTATCGCCAATTTTGGAATATAATATCTATTAATGGATTAGCATTTTATTATTGATATTATTTACATTGTATTGCCCTGCATGCTTCCCTTGCCGTTTAAATTATGCCATAAGGAAATTTGAAATTTCCTACATGGCAACATTGATAATGTTTTTTTTTTTCATTTATGTTTTTAGTCTGTCATCTTATATTTCATGTTTAATCATTATTTCTTTCATTCTGTCTTAAAAAATGGTTACTTACCAGCAGTTTCCGGTTGGGGTTTGTTATTATGTCGTTGCGGTGCAGCCCACTTGTCCTGGGCGTCGCGCAGCATCTTCTCGCCCGAGATGATGCGGTCTGACACATTCCATAGGCTGCGGACCACGCCTGTGTCAGAAAACCGTCACATTACCCTATGGTAAATTACGCCCCAGTGTCTATACACAGGGGCGGAATTTCTCAGGGCCCTGCTTATTTCTCACAGTCACAGAGCTGGATAAAGTGAGTAGAAAGGAGTCCCAGATATTTAAGACTTACTTCTCCCGGTGGGCGGAGAATGCATAAGGCATTTTCCAGACATTTTTCCAAAAAGGAGGCATATTTTCCCTAGGTTCAAAAGGATCATGACCCGCAATGGTAAGTTGGGTAGGGCGACGAAAAGCGACATTGACACTCAATTTTGGCCGCTTTTTATAAAGTAAAAAATTTAAAAAAAAATGTGGCTGATCTCAGAGGCGCAGCGCCTTCCCGTCTGACATGATGCGTCCATAGGCTGCGGACCACGCTTGTGTCAGAAAACCGTCACGTTACCATAGACACAGGGGCGTAATTTGTCAGGCCCCTGCTCATTTCACAGAGCCACAGGGCTGGATAAAGTGAGCAGGAAAGAGTCCCAGATATCTCCGACTTCTTCTTCCGGTGAGCGGAGAAGGCATTTTCCAGACATAAAAAATGAACATATTTTCCTTAGGGCCAAAAAGGACCATAATCCGGAACGGTAGACTGCGAAGCGCGACAAAGGCACTCAATTTTGGCCGAAGTAATAAATAAAAAATTGCGCGGCTAATCTAAGAGGCCAGAGGCCATGAGCACAATTCACATTATATCACGTTTCTTATCGTGTCTTATTTTCAAACTCAAATTAAATACGACAAGGAATTCGATGGCGTCGGTGGACAGTGCATTCGACCAGCGATCGCGGAAGTTAAGCAACTTTCACAATGGTCAGTCATTGGTTGGTTGACCAAAATCTTATTATCTCAAGGTCCTCTGTGATTGGAAAATCACGTTTAGTATCTGCATTCGTCAGCACCTACCAATCGCGCGCTGGGCCCGCGTGGTGGGTCACGGCCCAATTTTGCGTATTTCATCTATGGATGATTTCCCTATGGGGAAATTTCCCCACTGCTGGGGCACATGCCATTTCACTAATAGGCTGATGATGATAATGAAGGTGTCATTAATCAGTGTACTCGCCTACGAGTGACGTGGAATCCTGCAGAGTGCCGTAGGTGAGGGCGAACAATATCTGGTCGCTGAGTTGTTTGAACTTGTGCTGTGACCTTTATTTATATCCACGTAAGGTGTCATTGAGGAGCTCGACGGCGCAGGTGGATAGCGCGTTCGGCTGCGATCGTTTGAAGTTAGGCAACTTTCGCAGTGGTCGGTCATTGGATGGGTGACCAAAAATCTTCTATCTCGAGTTCCTCCGTACTTCGGAAGGCACGTTAAGCCGTTGGTCCCGACTGCATTTGCAGTCGTTAGCACCCGCCAATCCGCAATCAGCCCGCGTGGTGGGTTATGGCCCAATCTCCTTATTTCATCCATAGGGTAGACCTGTGCCCCAGCAGTAGGGACATTAATAGGCTGGTGGTGATGATCATGAAGGTGTCAATTATCAGTGTGTTTTTAAAATAAAATGTGATTAAATTTGCATATCATATTTATTAAAACGTTTAAACTAAATTAAGTATATTTCGTTTTTTGTTATTGTCTTTTTTGATTGTGCTATTGATTATTTAAAGTAGATTTATATTAAGATCTTTTTGCCTGAAACACAGGAAAATCCCAGTCTTAGATTTAAGTCATTTACATGTAATAATTGATATTAAATAAAGATTTATTATTATTCTCTCTTTATTTTATACCATATTAATTACATTTTTAAATATTGATATAAATATAAAAACATTTAAAAATATAAAAAATAGAAGCCAACCGGCATCGGGAACAGGGTCCTAGCTACCGGTGGTTAGGGCCCCAGAGAGAGGAACCTCCTCACTATGCGAGCCGTGTCAAGGAGTACTGCCTTCTGTATCAGGCCCTTGACCACAGAATATATACACTACGCGAAAAGAAACGACACTTAAGCATGTGTGCTCGTAAAATCGCCCGCGGCTATGTGTGGGTGTCTGGAGGTGTGCGGGGGCGTTGCGCGGCGCGCGGGGCGTGAGAGGGCAGTCGCCGACTGCCTCGACCGAATGCATGGCAGTAGCGAAATAGTAAAATAACTAGCAAACCAGTGAACCAAATGTTCACCAAAACCTGATTTAAAAAAAATGTATTTAATTAATTGAGAACTTCGGAGATTTTGTGTGGTTTCCTTTCAAATTCGTGATTTCTCGAAAACCGGAAGTGCTACGTTACTCAAATCCGGTTTGTAGTCTTATCAGACTATTCTTAACTTATAACTTAAATATTCTCTTTATCTATCTCTTACGGTTTGGCCGCTGAAACCGCACCACAGACGGACGGACGGACTTGTCTAATAGATAAGAGATAGCGTTGCACTGCATTGCAAGCACGGACTGACTACGCTACGCAAACTTATTATTATTTAGATAATAATAAGAATTATAAAACGAATCGAAAAAGCAGAAAATATAAAAGAGTTAGCAATTCGTAATAGTAGTTACATTAAAAGATTAAAAATTGATTATAAAATCAAACCTATCCTTCATTAATTACCCCAGTATCCTTGAATCAGTTTACATTTAATAACTTACTATGCATAAATATTCATTGGCACAAGTCTAAATTCCAATTCGGTTCAACCCTAGCGCATACACGCTTCTGCTCAAGGTCACTGAAGCTGGAACTCTCACGTACAGAGAGTGTCACCGCTGTGCCTTGACCCAGTCACCCAACTCGAGCCTCCACAGATGACAGTCGAGGCTCTTGGCTATCAGGCCATTGACCGTCACAACTATCGGCACAATGATAGCCGCGTCAACATCCCACATTTGTTTATTATTCTCTCATTTATTTCATTTCACAAGTTAGGATTTTATAAAATAGATATAAAAGTAAAATACAAAAACGTAAATAAAAAATAAATATAGTATAAAAAACCTAACCTAGAAGGCCACCAGCAGCGGAGCGAAGCCCAAGCTACCGGTGGTTAGGGCCGCAGAGAAAGAAACCACCTGACGATGCGCGCCGTGTCCAGGAGTACTGCCTTTTGCATCTGCCCCTTGACCCAACCATCTAGCGAGAGGCTCTTTAGATGTTGATCGAGACTCTTCGCTATGAGACCGTTTACGCTAACGACTATAGGGACAATGATCGTCGAATCATTATTATTATTACTGTACTCGCCTGCGAGCGACGTGTGTTCCTGCAGATTGCCGGAGGTGAGGGCGCACAGTATCTGGTCGCAGTGTTGTTTGAAGTTCTGTTGTTCTTTCTCCGCCTCGCTGTCTGTCAGACCGCTGAACGTTTCGTGACCTGAACGGGAAGTACTTAAATATTACTCTGGTATACACCCCGGCAAACTTCTCGAGCAACAGACCATAGACAAGGAAGCAGAAATTGCATTTTTCTTAACAATAATGTGGTATCTAAAGCAGCTTCCTATACAGGGCGTCCCACGGGTTTGTCACACACATATTGAAGATAGGATATTTTACTGAAAAAAGACATCCTTTTTTTTCATAATAACTAGAACTGCAATCACAGTTTGTTTTTAAATCGCCTGCTACAACTGGGAATCAAACTCGTGAAATTTTAGAAACAAAAACACGACGTATTTTATGATAACCACCGAAAAGGTAAGTTTCACATTTAAAGAGTTTGCTTCCCAGTTATAGCTGTATGTAAATACAGCAGAAAAAACAGCCCTTGCTGAGTTTCTTGCCGGTTCTTCTCAATACAATATCTCCTGCCGTAGTTTTTCGAACCGATGGCATAGCTTCTCGATCTTCACAAGTGCTTGTAGTAGCCTAACAGAACTAAATAAATAATTTTTGAGTTTGAGTTTCAATGCTTCCATATCATTTGTAATTGATTGGAAAGCAGAAGTAAATAAACCTTGCGATCTCACCTTTAAGCATAAGGTCGTTGAGCTGTTGTATGAGAGCTTCGCGCATTTTCTTGGTGTCGTAGTTTGTGGCTATGACTTTCGGCGGTAGTTTTATGTCGTGCGTTGATATTTTACTGTACCTGTTAATAAATAAAAAAGTCATATGGTTCAATGGAGGAAATCTTGTGACGTGTTGGCAATTACCTATTATATTTAATTTAATTACCTATTATATCCTACTAGTTGTGCCCCGCGGTGTTACCCGCGGTTTTTTAGGGATATTTTCCAGCAGTAAAACGTAGCCGTTTTGTTAATCCAGGATGTCAGGTAACGCCATGTCAAATATCATTAAAATCGCTCCAGCCGTTTAGACGTGAAGAAGTAACAAACATACACACTCGCAAACTTTCGCCTTTATAATATTAGTGGTATTAGTATAAGTAACGAACTCACCGTACGCAGGCGGTGGTGAGGCGGCGCGCGAAGGCATGCGCGTGCGCGTGCAGCGCGTGCGGACACGCCGGCGCGCGCAGGGCAGGCCGACCGCCTAGCGCGCGCGCGTGTAAATATGCGCCAAGAGACCACGACAGCGCCGCCGGGCTCAGAGCCCGCGCCCGCCCGCTAGCACCGCATACTTCGCACCGCGACCAGAACATGACCTAACAACAATACTGGACTTTTTGGCGGGATCGGGAAGCGTCACTTTAGCAGTTTTATTTTTCTTGTTAAAAATTGTGTTGTGGCGGATGTTACGCTCTAATAATGGTGGATTATTAACCACCAAGTGTTCGGAAACATGCACAAGTGTTGGCAAGTGAAACAAAATAGTGGAAAGTGTCTTTCGACCTTCTCTCAAGAAGTCCACGGGGAGGTTCCAGTAAATCCCCACACTTTTACTGAAACATGGGGAAAGGGGGTTTGACTTGACTGCCACTTACTTTGACTTGACTTATTACTTTGACCACGAGTGCTATAGTATTTGTATACATTTAACACTTGACACTGGCTAAATGCACAAGCCTTGCGAATCCATTTAGAAAAAAAAACAATACTTGCAACCGTATAGATACACAATAGATCGTGGCGGGAGAAAGATTAATAACAACGTGCGAACGTGTAAACACGCGCCCAGGGACCAAGACAGCGCCGCCGGGCTCAGAGCCCGCGCCCGTCCGCTAGCACCGCATACTTCGCACCGCGACCAGAACATTAATTACCTAACAACAATATTTGCAACCGTATACATACACAATATAACGAGGCGGGAGAAAGATATATAACAACGTGCGAGCGTGTAAACACGCGCCCCATTGGTCCCCAAGACAGCGCCGCCGGGCTCAGAGTCCGAGCCCGCCCGCTAGCACCGCATATTTCGCACCGCGACCAGAACATCACCTAACAACGAACATTTTGACCGTTACATAATATAACAAGAAGCCCGAAAGATAAAAAGAGATAAGAAGGGTTTTTTATCTTCTTCATCTTGAAAATCTGCTAGAAATAATTTTCTAACTAAAACCTCCTCCGAACAGAACATTATGCAGTCGCGGTCAGATGTGATAGTAAAATATGGAGTATTACAAATATACGCGCTCGGAGCGCCCCATTTACACGCGGGCGTGTGCAATGGGAGCCGGACACTTAACGCGCGCGCGTGTAAATATGAGCTCAACGGGACACGACAGTGCCGCCGGGCTCAGAACCCACACCCGACCGCTAGCCCCGCATATTTCGCACCGCGACCAGAACATCACCTGTCAACGAACATTTTGACCGTTACATAATACAACAAGAAGTTCGAAAGAGAAAAAGAAACTAGATAAGAAGGGCTTTTTATCTTCTTTTTTTTTGAAAATCTGTTAGAAATAATTTTCTAACTAAAAACTCCCCCGAACGGAATAATATGCAGTCGCCGTCAGATGTGCTAGTAAAATATGGAGCATTACAAATTAACGCGCTCAGAACGCCCCATTTACACGCGGGCACGCGCAATGTTTTAATAAAATGTTACCGGCAAGAATCTGTTCCAGTAACAAGAATAATAGAAAAAAAATTAAGAAAACCACATTGATTTTTACCCAGTCAGAAGATAACAATCAAATTGATAGTTTCCAATCAGCGCCATCTAACTTGTCAAGTGAGAACATAGTGGGAATGCTACCAAACAATCGAATCCCAATCTTATCGAAATCGAACATGAAACCTGTAAGACGTATAGTATGAGTGTAGAGGCCACTACCTGTCACATAAATATACCCAAAAATATTATTATCCTAGGAGACGAACAACTTCGTGTATTATCTTCAATATTAAAAAAATCAAGAAATGGTAAATGGAATGACATTTAAACGACGTTTGCACACATCAGGACCGGCGCACGAAGCTCAGAAATATTAGAACATTTCAAACGTTACATAATATAATAAGAAGTTAGAAAGAGAAACTACATAAGAAGGGTTTTTTATCTTCTTCTTGAAAATACGTTAAAAACATTTACCAACTTAAACTTCCCCCAGAAGCAATATACAGTCGCGGTCAGATGTGATAGTAAAATATGGAGCAACACAAATAAATGCGCCCAGAACGCCCTATTTACACGTAGATATACGCCCAACGACAACGTCAGCACGACCAGAACATCACCTAACAAAGACATTCGCTTACTTACATAATAATTCACAATATAACGAGAACTTCCAAAACATCAATAGAAACTAGATAAGAAGCTATTGCATATTCCCCTCGCAAAAAAATGACAAAATGATTTGAATAATATTATGTCGCTATGGCTATTACAATAACTCAATGTTGTTATAACTGAATATTTTTAAATGAATCTGTGCGCCTCACCTGTTTGTTTTGATCTTCTTTGATTTTATCCACGTTGCTATGTCCAATAGTGTTACATGTCACAGTTAAACATACATCACCGTGGACAAATCTAAACAAAAAGAAATACGTAATTATTGTTCCAGTTTTTACGCACATCAATTATTCGCAGTGGAGCCACGATGCGCGATGAAAAAACGGTATTTACGCCGATACGCCACTTGTAGCCGAGATTTCAATTCATATAAACAATAATAATGATAAATATTTCTAACACTCACGACAATTAGCCTAGCCCCTTGGGAAGCACTGTAAGGCTTGTGTTATGGAATGCTAGGGTTACAGATAGAATGCATATATTTGATACATATATAAGTATATTTATATTGAAACTAGCTGAGCCAGCGAACTTCGTATCGCCATAAAAATATGGGTGGTAGAAGGGTAAAATTGAGGGTTGTATGTATAAGTGTATGATGTATCATAAAAAAAAAACAAAAAAAATGTCCCAAGAAACAATTTAAGGATGGACCTTAACATTTAGGGGGATGAAAAATAGATTTTGTCCGATTCTCAGACTTACTGAATATGCATATAAACACGAAAATCGGTCGAGCTGCTTCGGAGTAGTTAAATTACGCACACCGTGATACGAGAATTTTATATATTAGATTTAACATCCATGGCTTAGTTACAAATGCTCATATTCGTCATACTAACATTTGGCCCACCGGAATTCGAATCCAGGACCTCTGAGTAGGCGACACCTTGAAACCCAAAGTACAAACCATTCGGCCACGGAGGTCGTCAAATAATAGGTTGATAATAATGAGTTTGTTAAGAAATTTTACTCGGACCTATCTATATTCTATAAATATAATAAAATGGTAGGAAAGTCAAAACTGTACATTGAATATTTTTTTAAAAGAATACTTGGGGTGTGATCTACAATCGATACCGAAGCCAAAAATATAGTGTTTACAATTTTTGTCTGTTTGTCTGTATGTATGTCCGGGATAAACTCAAAAAGTTCTGCATGGATTTACTTCAAATTTGGCACGAATATTATTAATAAGTCGGGTCAACATATAGGCTACATATTATCACGCTATCACCTACGGGGAACGAGCAGTGAACCTTTATTTCTAACTAACCCCACGCGTACGATGTCGCTGCGGCTGCTAGTAGTTAAAATAAAACGAAAGAGAGAGGCATACAATGCATTAAGTGCCTACCTTCTAACATGTTGATTCATCGGCACTTGACAACTGGTGGACGGGCACTTGTAGTCCGGGTTGAAGCAGTATTTCTCCAAGAACGCGCCCAACGATATGTCGTGCTTGCCGTACAATTCCATCGTCACTATCCTAACATAGGGAAGCAGAAGTAAACATAGATAAAATACGTTTCTCGACTGAGATAAAGGGTCTTAAAGAAAGACAGTAAAACGCCCGTATCATTTTTTAACGTTAACTAAGAAGTTTGATTTTTTAACAGCTTCAAGGGCCTGTAGACCTGGGTATTATGGTTTAAATTTTAACTGGATACCTCCACGCGTTCCCGAGATAAAGGGTCTTGACAGACAGACGGACAGGAAGTGTTTTGTTTCATTTGAGGTACGAAATCCTAAAAAAATATTTTTAAGGATGATGACTTACCATGGATTGACGCAGAAGTCTGGCACGTTAGCGGACTTGGCACAATAGCTGTATATGAGCATGCTGAGTCGCTGGTGCTGCTCTGGGGCCAGCGGGTCTAGTTGCTGATCTTCTGTGATCTTCTCCACTTCAGGGGAAGGCTCCTTTTGACTCCGCTTCACAACGCACGGCTTGTAGAGGGGACACTCGTCTGGTAACAGGAACAGTTTAAACCTTTGTCTAAATTATTGTTAGTGCCTGAGCTTAGTGGATGTAAAATAATAAAGTTGTTACCGAAAATAATTACGTGTTTATTCTTTGTTCACAAAATGTTCTTAAAATACTATAGTAATTTATGTTAATGATTGCATTCGTATAGGCGTCGAAATCTACACTATAATAATTTATATTTGCACCGCGGCTTATGACCTAAATTAGGCCAGGCGCCGTGACGGTGTTAATTATTGCAAATAAGCAAAATGTAAATGTTCGGTTATTGCACCGAACATTTACCATCAACTGACTTGTCTATCAACGCACAGCTCAAATCACTGAACGGGTTGCGCTGAAATTTAGCACACATAGAGCTATTATGATGCAGGCGTGCGCTAAGAAAGAATTTTCTAAAACTCAAAGCGGGTACAACAGGGTTTCAAAGTTTGTAGGGACACCAAGATCCGAGGTTATCCTTAAACTAAATAAGCAAAACCCAGATTTTCTATAAAGAAGTTACTTAGGCTTTTTATTTACTGAGTTTCCGTTTGGTCACTCACACAAAATCAAATTTAACGCGAGCGGAGCCGCGTGTGGCCGCTAGTTCTTAAATACAGTGGCGGCGCTAGGCGTCGGCGTCGGCGACGGCCTCGCAAAAAAATTTTACAAGTTACCTATTTATTTTCGTTTCTCCGGGCCTGGCTTAGGTAGCCGACCCCGAACAATTCGGGGAAAAAGCTAAGCAGATGATAATGACTTTTAATAATTTCGAACACGTGCGTGATGGAAGCGAGTAGTACTATACGGGTATTCAGAATCGTCTGTCTGGCAACACTATGAATCAACAATAAAACTCTAGGGTTTTCATCATATCATTTCATCGAGTGCGGTTGGCGTCTTATTTTAATTATTCTTAAATTCGTTCATAGTGGATATTGTGAAATAAAATTGGTGTGGTTTTGTGTAACAACTGTCTGCGTAACTGAAGAAATAGTGGAATCATTAAAATATACGCTATTCCGGTCAAGTGGTACCTCACAGAAGCTTATCGAAAAAGCCAACTCGATACATTTCGTGCCAAACACTCCAAGAAACATTAGAATGCGTCACACCGACATTCTAATCTCTCTAAATTTAAGAGCTATGCTCTTGTCGGTGCAGACTATGTATCCACCTCCATCTCCCTCTATCCTCCGCCAACCCTTTGAGCCCCCTGTACGACTCGACGCCAACCTTTTCCTTGATTTGCTTTATGTAGGCTATCCTCGGTCTTCCTCTTCCTCTCTTTCCTTCCACTTTTCCCTCTATGATGGTTTTTATGAATTCGTCGTGTCGCACAAGGTGGCCAAACATTCTAATGTAAAAACAAAAAGAAGATAAATTTAATTAAAACCAGGCTGTATGGGCATTGTTCCCCTTGCCTTCCCTAAAACGGCAGAACTTCAACAAAAAAAAAACAATAAAACTAGTTTACTTATACGTTATTTTATAATTTAGCTCACTTAATTTAACGGTTTTTTACTGCGAAGTAAAATAGGCCTCGCGAACTTGATGTCACCGACGTCCACATGTGGTCTAGCGCCGTCACTGCTTAAATAAAGATAATAAGACTCACGCTTATGTTTATCGGGGCGGTACCGGCCGCCAGTGGCGCGGTAGTGCGCTAAAGAGGCGCGCACACGCAAGTCTTCCGCCGACGCGGTCAGAGGCTCGCGAATGAACGGGTGCACTTCCTGTCCACATGTGAATATACTGATCATAAGATCCGTATAAGTCGCGACACGAAACTCTAGCGCTGACCGTTATTGCGCAGAAGTAAAAATTAGGGCTGGAAACAGTGCTCGACCGACGGTACGTCCTGACCGGCAGCGCTGACCGTCGGTTGCGAAAATGCATTCAGTGCTACGCTGACGGCGAACGGCGAAGCGTATGTAAATGCTCTAATATGTGCACGCTATATTTTGCGCAATTAATTAATTCCGTTACAAACCTCTTGTCAAGCACTTATTTTAGCATCACAGTCTTTATAAAATACAGACGATAAATCCCATATTGCCAGACGAAGCCGCACTTCAGTAATAAGGCGCTCTGAATCAATACTCATTTTTGCTTTGTGTACGTACAAGCGTATGGTCGTTCGCTCCGTCAGTGAAGCACTGAACGCATCCATACCATCTCATAGTTCGACGGTCGATCGACGTACGCGCGACTGACGAGTCGGACCGACCGTACGCGCGTAGGTACCAAATAACGCGCGGACCATCAGGAGCTCTATTTTTGAATCGCTCGTCTTGCGTCGAACGCTCGATTTCTACTAAATTTCATTCGACATAATTAATTCCGTATTTTTGAATCGCTCGAGTGCAACGAATGGGTGAGACCACTCGCTGCATGGCGAATGGTGGAGGCGAATGATAGAATAATTGTCATTTTTTTTGTTTTTTTGTTATTGTCATGCTTTATATTCATTGCGGTAATTACAGGTTTTTATTTTTTCTGCGTGAATTGAGTAAAATTTTATATTTCGTATTAAACAGGTAACACCGGTGACGAATGATTCAAAAATACGGAAAATCAGTATTATGCGACTTGAAAGTCGAAGGTGACTTAGTGACTTATGTCGCATTATACACACGATACTATGTCAGACGAGTGATTCAAAAATAGAGCTCCAGCGCATCTGTGTGCGTATTCATAGACTTGTATAGATATAGCTAAGCCAACCGACGGCACTGTTTCCAGCCTAAGATGACTTGGGGGGAAACAGAGGTGCACGGGCGACAGTGCGTTGCACCGATTGGCTCTCCAGTCGTACCTTTGCGCAGCTATCCCTCCGCGTTTTGTTCATCGCTAGAGTTACGTGCTGCAACCTGTACCCTTAGCACGAACTATTATCGAATTCGAATAGTTAAATTCAATCTAGATATACGTAAAATTTGAACTGATTTTAAGTTCTGGTTACGGTCTTTAGTAGCGCTAGTGTTAAAGTTTTCATAAAAAATTTGACAATGATATTTCGCACTCGCAAACTATTCGAATTCGATATTGGTTCGTAAGTGAAAACCTAAGGTTGTTTGACAACCGCTCTTGTCACCGGGACGTAAACGAGAACGAGATGACGGTGCACAGGTAGGGGGTCATCCATTAAGTACGTCACTCTAATTTCGAGATTTTGTTACACGTCACCCGTCCTTATCACAGTTGGTCATATTTATGAGTAACTCCCGCCCTCCCTAGTGACGTCACATATTTTGTTATTTTGCATTAGAAATTATAAATTAAAGCAGCAGTTCCGAAAATTACCTCACAAAACAAATTTAAATCCACACAGACAGAGTTCTAAATATTTTTAAGTGTTTGATAATACCTAATTCAAAATTATTAGACTTTGAAATGTGACGTCCTGAAACGAGGCTGGGAGGGGGCCTAGTTTGCCCCTTGTCACACTTCTACGACCCTCTCTCCCTCTTAACCGTAACCGAACGTACATTATGGATGACCCATAGGAACACATATAAAAAAGAATCTGTAATAATCGCCGTCACGTCATTTCGCCCATAAAAAAACGAGCGAGCCTTACAGTAGTCGCGTATGATGTGTAACATTTGAAACCTCACCTTATATTAGTAAAAAAAGATATAAAACCTACTATAAAAAAAAATAAGCCATTTGTACATTATGTTCTAAAATCAAATCAAATAGCGCGCGCTTTCGCGACTTCCTGTTATAGTCTGTTCCAAATGTACTCCCACAAATTGCAGGAAAGCGAGAGGAAAGATGATACACATCAATAAACACGTTCTCTGTGACGTCCCGGTGACGGTGGCGGTTGACAAACGACCTGCGTGTGTAGCGCGGACGAATTTTGTCATCATCTTCAGCCTATCAATGTCTGTTGTTAGGGCTCCTCGATAGAATAGTAAGTAGGTAAGTTTTCGATGCCTCACTTTATGCAAGTATAAAAAACGTACCTCTACGCGCGGAGGCCCTTTCAAAAAACCAATTCAGCAGTGAGGCTCGCGTGAGATTTGTATAATATAATATATAATCCAAACGATTTCAAAATGGAGAAACCTAAAGAAGGCATAAAGATATTGGATATGTCTCAGGTACAAAATGCACGTATTCATTATACAAACAAGGGGCACTTGCGGCCCGCCCCTGTTCTTATAATATTAAACTGACCTTTAATTCGTTAAGTTCTGTTGCGGTTTGCTAATGTTCCTGTGCTAGTTTCTGAGCATTTAAGGCTCTTTGTTGGATTTTTGTAGCAAGAATAAGTACTAGTAGACAGAACTATGAAAAGTACTGCCACAAGGAACACTTATGGCCCGCCTCTGTTTACATAACATTAAACTGACCTTCAATTCGACATCGTTCTGCTGCGGCTTGCTGATCTTCCTATGTAATTGTTTGGGCGTATGAGGCGCTCTATTAGGTACTTTCAGTAAAGGCTGTGGAAAGTATTGCCTCAAGGGACACTTGCGGCCCGCCTCTGTTTCCAAGTACGGCGCCGGGATGACGGTGATTGGAGACATTGATAGGACCACGTCGTCTGTGCACCATCTATACGGAATAGTTTTGGATATGATGATACAGTATTCTTATGTTTTGTTTAACTATACAATTATCTTAATTCAGTAATTAATATTAAACTATATATTAATTACGTTGTATTTCATTCAATTCATTTAATGACTCTGTACACCATCAAGATGAACATAGCATAAGCTTTGCTAATTCTAAGATCGAAGATCGTCTGGACTATTGTCAGCGAGTATCTATTACACTAAACATTCTTTCCTTCAGATACTACGACGATAATACTTGCGATCATATTGTTATATCAATCGAACCACGAATCGAAAAGAACGAACTACGAAGAGATAAAGATGTCCTAGTAGATGCTGATATCATAGTATATTTTCATTTCAATTTGATCAATAATAATAGATTTTGCTCTAAAATACAGAAAACCCCAATGGTGAATTCATGGTCAATCATTCATGTTTATTATATAAATATTTACTTATCGAAAAAGTCTAAGCAACATCTTGTACGGTTTTGACCTTTTAAACGATTTTTGCTATTGTAATATATTTATACTATACCAATATAAACACAATCGAAAAAGTATTTTTTTTAAAAGCAGCCAATTATATTTATGTCACTTGTGTTAAAGCGTAACACATATACTAAATTTTATGTATTAATCTCCAAACAAAACATCCATTAATTGATCAACATTTGTTGCAAATTTACTATTTTATGACGGCATTTCTATTGACTATTCGTATTCGCTATTTGTAAACTTGACAAGTCTGTCCTTAATCAGTTTTATAAGCAATGAAAAGGACAGACTGTGGTCGAGTTTACTAATAGCAAACACGAATAGCCAAGTGACTTGCCGGCATCATAAAAAAATAATATTTATGTCATGAACATTGGTCGTATCGAGATTCCGGCGTTATGCACTCTCAAACAGTGTGTGCGTCTACTCAATACAACTGGGGATTCTCGCTTATGAGAGGCCAACTGGACCGATGCGCCACTGACTAAAAGACACAAAAAGAAGAGCTCGATGGCTCAAGTGGTAAGCGCGTTCGGCTGCGATTGCTGAAGTTAAGCAACATTCGCAGTGGTCGGTCATTGGATGGGTGACCAAAAATTAATTATCACGAGCTCCGCCGTGCATCGGAAGGCACGTTAAGCCGTTGGTCCCGGCTGCATCTGCAGTAGTTAGCAATTGGTGGATACCAAACCGCACTGGGCCGGCGTGGTGGGTCATAGCCCAATCTCCCAATTTCACCCATAGCGAAGGCCTGTGCCCAAGCCATTGGGACATTAATAGGCTAATGATGATGATGAAGAGACACAAAAAACTCCCGAATCCTTAATGTCGAAGACCAAAAAATTTACAGTTTGTACACCTTTAACGAGAAGTAGTTGGAGTGCAGGAGAAAAAGATCAGAGGGAGATACATTCCGAGATATATATTGTAAACAAAGTTACAGTTAAAGTGTAGTCTATTTTTGTCTCTAATGTGTGTTAATTAGTTCGCGTTTCAAATTGCACTGTCTTTAAATGAAGAAACTACATTTTATACAATAATATGACAATCTCTCGAGACTCTAGGTAAAATTGTAAGGTACAAGTAAACTGTACACTCACCTCTCTGTATGATTATCAGCTTTCAACTTAGCTTCTTCCTTCGGCAAAAACACGTCGTCATCAAGTGTAGCTCGCAAAGGATCACTGAAATCCCTAATCGGAACGCCGCAACTAAAATTCTTTTCACTATCCACCTTCCTGAAAGGTTTCGTTCTTTGCAATGGATCATCTGGTTCTGACACCCTTTTGTTAAACTCAGACACAGTTTTAACTTCTACGGAATTCGCAGAATCTGGTCTTGTAGACTCTTTACTTTTACTAGCGGCTATTGTAGCCTCCCAATCGTCGTTACTCATAACTGTATCGCTGGCGTCAGTGTCTTCTCTGTCGATGGGCATTTCGTTTGTATCGTCATTTACATTTTCGCAGTCGTCGTCGAACGTCATTCCCGGCTCTGGTAGTATAGCTTCGATGTCACCTACGAATGATCGTTAATATTGTTAAGATTGTTCGAATTTTGAGTACAGGATAATGCGATCATGGACTTATTAGTATGTAAATGTATTTTAGATTTTGAATAACATTTTTATTAACGAACAAAATAAAACTCACAGATTTACTGTCAAGCCGACGACATCAAAATATTTGTATTTATTTTTGCTTTAAAAATACTTATTGTGGAGTGTCAATCAGAGATATGGAGAGAAAGATTGTAAGAAAACGCGAAATTGATGGCTCTGTAAATAATTGGCAACATCTTTTATCAAATATGGAAAGCTGATGACGTAGTAGGAGTTTTCATAATTTTCAGGATTGTAACTTTATCAAAAGTTCCCGAGTTATTTTAATAGAAATCATAAAAATTCAAACATTTAGCATTTAATATTAATAATTACAATATTTATACATTGCTAGGGAAGTCGCTCATACCAAATTTTACCATGTCCTTTAAGATTTAGGTTTAGAGAATCATGCCCGAATCGAGACCAGTACGATTGTATCTGATATTCATTATTATTATATGAATGAATAACCTAAAAACGCCTTCTCCAGTCTCCAGTTGTAGCAGGCTAGCAGCATGAATTTGACGACTTTCTTCACTCTTATCAACTCTTGGAGAGACGCCCCACGCAGTAATATGCAGCAACCAAGATTGGGTTCTGCACAACCTTCTAACACCATGAGCGTTTTGTTCGGAACTGTGTGAAAGATTAAACATTAATCGGCAAAAATAAAAAATATATATTACCAAGACACACCAATGATGCAATGCAATGTAGATTTATAAAGCTAAGGATTCTATAAAAAAAAGTGTTTAAATTTTTGTTTTACGACAAATATTGACGAAATTATGATCAAATTACTAAACGAATTTTTCGACTTGCCCGCGCGGTGGCTGCGACTTGTGTGTTTGCTTTGGTTGAAATAAATAGAATAAAATAAGTATAGAATAAAGTACGATAGAATTAGTGTTACCCAAATTCAGTCTTGGTCTTGTTCTTGCATTTTTGCAAGACCAAGACCAAGAACGAGACCGCGTATTTTTAGCAAGACCAAGACCAAGACTGACCGTGCAAGACTTGAGCAAGAACAAGACTAATCCGGCAAGACTCTTGCGTCTTGCAGCTAGGACTTAGCGCTATTTCACCGAGTAGTTAGGTATAACAGTTCGGTGCATAGTTACGCTTAGGCGCAAAAAACTGTATCAAATAATATGAAAAACTGAACCTATGCGCATTTTGACCAATACCATAAACATACATAGCAAATTAAAAAAATATCCATTAAAATCAAACAGAGTGCATGCATAGTTTTGTTTTAACCATCGGCACTTTGATAATGCGGCATCAAAGGTTTTGTACTGACTTCGCAAAGAAAGGAGATTGCTCAAATTGGCCTAAATGCTCAAAAAATCTTGACATACACGGTAATTCTTGGCGTAATTTATAATTTAATTGACAATCATTAGATTTCAACGGACATCTTTGTATAATATATTTACTTTAAAAAGGACTTTTAATTTTACCGGTTTGGAAAACATACGAATCATTTTTAATGGCTATGGGTGTAGTAACATTCAGCCAAAGACTGATCGAAGATGTTTATATAAAATAAAAACAAATATATTTTGTAAAGATCGATAAAATAAATATTTTTTTTTATTACACTGTGGTATTAATATCCACAACTATATTGTCATTTTCACTAGATGCAAATGTGCTCAGACAATTATTATAGATGGTAGGCGACATCATAAAGTCTATTGCCATACATTTTTCGCCAAACACCTCCATAAACACATTACAATCTGTATATATTATGTTAGACTTTAAGGTATCTATTTATGGGCCTACGTTCCCTGACTATAAATTAATAAATAAATAAAATTATAAGGTGTGATACACTAAAAATCTAAAATATGGTTATCTTAAAAACATAACAAAAATAATGAAGCTACTGAATATATGGCTATAGAACCTAAATCTCTTAGCTTTCTTTGTTTAACGAGAGTTTAAAAATTCTCTCTAATCATCACAATCATCACACAGTTTCTGTCACAGAGTACCTTATTATAATCGGAAATGACACCTGATTTTAAAAGTTACTTTTATGCATTAAATTTAAAAACAGGCAACTATCTGTTAATCTACATGCTCTATATACCTGAATCTAATCCATAACTTCGGTACTTGGCTTGATTTCCCTAGTTTACTATATAACTTATTAGTTTTTTATTATTTTAATATATACAGTGTATATGGTTTATAGAAGTTCTCAGGGGTGTCCGTCAATAATATTCGTTTCTACAGTAATTTATATATAATTTCGAATCTAGGAAACAATTTTTCATGATTATTGGTCTTTAGGCCAAACATGTATGGAAGCTGAGCAATTTCCTTTGCCGCTTTTCGGAAGTACATGGATGATACACGCGCCGGCGGCTTCTATTGAAATCACATACAACAATCGTTGCCGCCGCGCCGAAATCACAACATTTGACACTATTTGATTGCCGCCACAGGGCCTAGGTATACTCATGCAAAATTCTAATTTCGTGGCGTGCTCTCACGCTAATACTATTTAATATATGAGCGAGCGAGACGGTACGACACGAACTTCGATTTTCGAATTTTAGAGTACAGGTGTTCCAAAGAATAAATAAGTTTCAGAGTGCTTAGAATGGAAACGAATACATTATACTGATCACGCAAGTAGTATTATGATTAGATAATGGTAAGGATAGGTAGTAGATGTCATAATAATTTATTCTAGTAAGCATATATTATAATATTGATTATATGGGTTTAAACTAATTACTTAGGTACTATTATTGTACATTTAGTCAAAATATTTCTTAAATTTTTACAAGAAAAAATAGCAAAAAAGTGGTCAAATATCACCCGTTTGATAAATATTGTAGCCACTTTTAAATATACTTGAAACTTGTAAAAAAATTCAAAATCTTCAGACATTTATTAATCTGACTGGTCTTTTCTATGGCTATATTAATTCAAGCTCACAATGTTCCAATTCTAATACGTTTTTCTAAGATCTAAAGTAAACTTTAATAAATAGCAATAGTCTAATACGTAATTGCAAGACTTGCAAGACTCTTGCTGCAAGACCAAGACCAAGACCAAGACCTGACTTGTTCTTGCATTTGGGCAACACTAGATAGAATAGAATAGAATAAGTTGGATTATAAATATATTTATATAGAAATACATATCAATCATCCATGACTGGAGTACAAATGCTCCTATTCATCACACCAACATCTGCCCCCACCGGGATTCGAACGCGGGACCTTGAAACCCGTTCATAGCACTCGGCCACGAAGGTCGTATCAGCAAAAATGGGAGTTGACGCTGTCGAAACTATGGCACACTATGAGAGTTTTGTTCGAAACTGTAAAAGATTTAATGTTCCGAATTCCGGTGGGGGCAGATGTTTGTGTGATGAATACGAACATTTGTACTCTAGTTATGATGGATGTTTGATATGTATTTCTATATAAATATATTTATATATGTACAGTGTGTGTATTCTATCCGTTACCCTAGTATCCCATAACACAAGCCTTACAGAGCTTACTTTGGGGCTAGGCTAATTGGTGTGTGTTCGAAATATTTATTATTTATCTATAATATTCAGTAAAAGTTGGCTTAGATGTTGTCAAAACTATGGATAGTAATGCAGCGATTGCACTTAGTGCTCGGAACAAGGCTGAGCGTGCAAACATTTGCTCGAAATGGTCTTTTCTAATTAGATTCATGATGAGGTGAGAGCAGGCAGGTACGAATGGAAGGTAAAAATACAAATATAGAAATTTAATATACTGAGTTGACAAGGGCTCGTACATTATTAGAAGGGAATATGTCATGTCATCAGCTATATTCGCAACAACTCTACATGCATTAAATTAATTTAAGGGTTAGATTTATTTACTGGACCTAATCACACTAATACTATAAAGGCAAAAGTTTGTGAGTGTGTATGTTTGTTACTTCTTCACGTCTAAACGGCTGGAGCGATTTTAATAAAATTTGATGTGGAGTTAGCTGACACCCTGGATTAACACATAGGCTATTATAGGCGTTTTAATGCAGAAAAATATCCCTAATAAACCGCGGGTAACATCTAGTATAAGAATAAACATACAACACAATACAATGCAATACACAACACTTTATTGTACACGAGAGGAAACATTACAATGAATACAGAGCCATTTAAATGTAGTGTAAAAGTAACTTAAATGGTACTCACAGTTTTTCACGTAGAATTTTTCAGCCGTCCCGAGTCTGGGGGTGCCGATTCTAGCATCGATGGAGGAGACCAAATCAGCCCGCGTGCATCTGACGATAAAAGAAACTAATAAGCGGAAAACTCCTAAAAGAAAGCTTTACTTCATAATTTTTTTCTGAGAAAATACCTATAATGAATATTTCAATCTCCCGACACATAATTATGCATTTAGTATATGTAGTAGATAGATATGAGGAGATCGATGGTGCAATTGGTTAGCGCGTTTGGCTGCGATCGTTGAAGCATTTTTCGAACTGGTTGGTCTTTGGATTGGTGACCAAAAATTTCGTATCTCGAGCTTCTTTGTGCTAAACAAGTTTATTCATTATGTAACCATTTATATACCAAAATGAACTTAACAAAACATAGATTCTTATGACAATAAAGTTTATTCAAAATGACCTCCGTGATTTTGAATACAGGCCTTCAATCTGCGCGGCCAGTCGTCTATCGCAGCACGAACGAGGTCCATGTCAATATCGGCGGCTGCCTTAATCAAGGATGTCTTGAGTGACTCCAAATTGGGATGAGGCTTTGAGCACGCCTTTTTCTCCAAGTGTTGCCATATCTTGTAATCTAACGGACTCAAATCTGGACTGGAGGAGATCCAGTCTTCGTGCCGGATGATTTCGATTTCTCTCAGATTTTCTCAGTCTTGTGTGCTCTTCGCTCTATGAGCTGGGCCGAATCTTGTTGGAATACCCAGTGCCTGTTATTGAACATGGTATGAGAAAAAGGTTCCACAAGGTTCGTCAGGGCTGTATTTTGATACACAACTGTATTCGTTTTTACACCTTTCTCACAAAAATGTACCTCTGTTAAGCCCCAATAAGAAACTCCCAACCATACCATGAGCGAGGATGGAAAATGACCTCGTTGGACATGCGGAATACGGTTGCTCACTTCTTCATTACCGTGTGCGTACACCTTATCATTTTGTTTTTTCACCCGAAAAAAGAATTTCTCGATATTTTTTTCCCGCGTACCGCTTCAACAAAGCGCGGCATCTCTTCAGTCTCAGGTCCATTAGACGAGCATTCAAACGATGTCCTGTTTTTCTTCGATATGCCCAAAGCCCTAAGTCTTCATTTAACACCCTTTTCACCGTGGTTCTGCTTAACCTCATCTGAAGAGCCAACAGTTTCTGTTTACGTTTGGGATTTCTTTGAATTCGCGCCTTCACAGCTTTTATCACTGCTGGAGTCCTAACAGACCGAGGGCGACCACTTCTTGACATGTCATCTACACTAGAATCTTCATTGTATCGTTTGATGGTACGATAAACGCATCTTTTGGTTATATTCAAAATTTTCAGTATTGTAAAAATTTGAATTGGCGCGTAACCGCAACGATGCAACGCAATAACTGCAACAGGAACTTCTTTAAGCGTCCAATCCTTTTTTAAAAATGAGTAAAATTCTAAAAAGTATACACTTTTATTTTCATGAACAATTCGAAATTCGAATACAATAAACTTTTTTGTGGCCAGCATTCTAAAAGAAAAGTTTTTACTCTGTGACAATACTTATGACCTGACTGTGTATTTAGATTTATACATTACCTGGCACACCTGGCCAGCGCTCGGTCCCGCAGGCGGGTGGCGAGCGCTCGGCCCGCTTCCCGCAGCGAGTCTTGAACGGCGCGGGCGGCGCTGCCCCGTACTAACACCACTGTAACACGCGGCACATTACCTGGCACACCTGGCCAGCGCTCGGTCCCGCAGGCGGGTGGCGAGCGCTCGGCCCGCTTCCCGCAGCGAGTCTTGAACGGCGCGGGCGGCGCTGCCCCGTACTAACACCACTGTAACACGCGGCACATTACCTGGCACACCTGGCCAGCGCTCGGTCCCGCAGGCGGGTGGCGAGCGCTCGGCCCGCTTCCCGCAGCGAGTCTTGAACGGCGCGGGCGGCGCTGCCCCGTACTAACACCACTGTAACACGCGGCACATTACCTGGCACACCTGGCCAGCGCTCGGTCCCGCAGGCGGGTGGCGAGCGCTCGGCCCGCTTCCCGCAGCGAGTCTTGAACGGCGCGGGCGGCGCTGCCCCGTACTAACACCACTGTAACACGCGGCACATTACCTGGCACACCGGGCCAGCGCTCGGTCCCGCAGGCGGGTGGCGAGCGCTCGGCCCGCTTCCCGCAGCGAGTCTTGAACGGCACGGGCGGCGCTGCCCCGTACTAACACCACGCGCGGCTGTAACGCGGCGATGCGGGCTGCGCAACGCATCAAATATTGCTCCTCCTGGACCATAATACGTAAAGGCGATTTAACGGTTGATCAAAAGTGATTCTTTTCCACAAGGACATTTGAATGATAAACAGTGAAATGCGTTGTTTGTATAGACGCATCACTTTTGATGAAAGCTAATATTCTATTCCTTGGGGAATTCCTGCGTAAACATCACTAAAACAACGCGCGGCTGTAACGCGGCGATGCGGGCTGCGCAACGCATCAAATATTGCTCCTCCTGGACCATAATATGTAAAGACGAAATGAAGGTTGATCAAAAGTGATTCATTTGTGCAAGGACATTTGAATGACGAACAAGCTAATATGCTATTCCTTGTGGAATTCCTGCGTGAACATCATCATAGTCTAGTTATTTAATACAATTCTAAATACTGAGAGAATTAAAGAAACCAACTGCGAATGAGCTGTCGCGATGACAGATGCATGATCGATGCTAAAACAATTGGGAACCGGAAATTTTCATCGCGAAGGTACATCCCGATGAACATCAATTTAGACATTTCATTTTAAATTTTTCATCGATGATGCATCGGAAATGAAAGCAAAAATTCACCGTCTAATTTCAGCTTAATAAATAAAGTCTTAACGATTCTCACACTAAATCACTGGTAAATACAATGGCGGTTATTAAGTTAGCGGGGAACGCAATTATTCCGAGTTTCAGTTCGGGACCATCACGCGTGCGCCCATATAACCCTGCATTGCGTTTCATGTTGTCGTTAACTTCGCAACCGCCTAGTTTGAATCGCGCTATACTAACAAAGGGGAAAAATACGCATCGGAAGAAGTAAGAAGTCGTGGCTCCGAAACATCAGAGTGTGGACTGTGTGTTGCCAACGTTGAAGACCTATTTCGTCTGCCACGAGACAAGGACAAATACGCAGAGCTGACGGCCAAACTCCAGCAGTGACAATAAGAAGAAGATACTAACGAACAATTTTTTTTTTTAAATCTTCGAGAGCACAATCTTTAAGCATATAAATTATCACATGAAACATATAATTAGCCCCTCCAGAAAGCATGGTTTCGTCAAGGGACGCTCTATCACGAAACGTAGAATTATACAAAGAAATATGTTTATGAAATAATAAACATCAAATGTTATATTAGATTTAATTTGAAATTAAGAGCGCATTAAGTCGCCAACAAACTGCACTGTACTGCAGTTTGGCGACATTGTTTCTTTAAAACACATTTATACAGGTAGTCCTCGTACTTACGGCATGTTAGGTTCTCGAAATAAGCGACGTAAATCGAAACGACGTAAGTCAAGACTTCCCCAAGGACGCCGGCCCCAAAGACATTGACCTCGCGGCAAGTGAATTCTCCTATGCAGTAAATCGAAACAATTGCCGTATGCAATTGAAATGACGTAAATCGAAACGACGTAAGTCGAGGACTGCCTGTATTTCTTTTAGAAATGGAATGTACAGCCCATGGCACTCACCTGCAACAACACTGGCTCTAAGGATGTCAACTTCCCTTCCACTCGCTGATAGGCGATGGAGCAGTCCAGCAGCAACACTGTAGGATTAGAGATTTGCTGTGGCATTCCCCTATACGTGAAACATAAGAACTGTTATTGAGTATTGTGTTTAAAATTGTTTGAAATAGGCTATTTGACAATATGAAAAATAAAGTACACATTGTTGCTATCTGTATGAAATATGATTATTAGCAGCGATATTACTATTCTGAGAGAATAAATAATTAATAACTTTTCTAAAAAAAAACAGTAAATAGAAATAATTTTGTTTTTGTTATTTGGTCACGTGACAGAAAACGCCTGAATTGGTAAACGCTAAAATGATGCCGCACGCTAGTAAACATACGGTCAGTGACGTCACATTGTATCGTTTGACCTTTTAATGACAGTCGTGTGACGTAACGTCTAGATATAATGTCAACCATCAACATAATATCCAGGAATTGTTTTGACGGCAACTTGAAATATTCATTTTTTTTTCTTAATAATCACTGTTGTGTATCAACAGTGATTAATATCCATGTTATGGACTTTTTATGGACTCTATAAACATTAGAAAATAACGTGAGATTGTTTTCTTAAACCTGCCAAATGGCCAATTGCGAAAGAAAGTGCTATTTCTTTCAAATTCACTATCGGGCTTATTTGTGATTAAATGAATTTTGTTGCTTGTCTAGCACTCCTATATAAATGAGATAGGATGGGTAGTATAAGACTCTATTATCTCAAATTCCCTTTGAAAGACGCTTTAGTCTCTTGATCTTGGCTGATTCTGAAGTCTTAACACTCATCAATCTAATTGAGTTCCAGAAGTAAAAGTTGGGCCTGCGTGGTGGGTCATGCCCTAATCTTCCTATTCCATCCATAGGGAAGGCCTGTGCCCCAGCAGTGAGAACATTAATAGGCTGATGATGATGATGACATTATATTGAGGCTGACCCACCTGTGCGCCACGTTCTTAGTGAGTACAACGCCGTGCACCACGCAGCTGTCGCGCAGCGAACCGCCAGAGACTTTCTTCACTTGCACGTAGTTGCGGATATCAATGTCGGAGCTGAACAAGTCTAAACAAATTGACAATTAAATCACAAAATATAGCTTTTCGCCGCAACCATAACCCGCATCACGCATTGTTGCTCTATAAAATAACATGAAGCAACACGCGGAGCGTACGTCACAGTATGGTTCATAGAAACTTAAATGTGTCTCATGTTTGATCTACAAGTAAAAATAAGATAAATATTTCCAACACTCACACCAATTCGCCTAGCCCCAAAGTAAGCACTGTAAGGCTTGTGTTATGGGATACTAGGGTAACGGATAGAATACAAACACTGTACATATATAAGTATATTTTTATAGATAATACATATTAAACATTCATGACTGGAGAACAAAATGCTCGTATTCATCACACAAACATCTGCCCCCACCGGGATTTGAACCCGGGGCCTCTCAATTTGGCGACACCATGAAACCCGGCGTACAAACCACTCGGCCACGGAGGTCGTCGACTTTATGAGTTGAATTTAAACTTTTTCTAGCTTTTTTTTATTGGTATGTCCGACAAATGACTCCACCCCACCTGATGCCCAGACGTGAAGACAGCTGGTACAGCAGTTCTACCTGCCACACCAGCCATTCTCACCTTGCCGGCCTGCATGTAGCTTCTGAGTTTTAGTGGTGAGGTCTTAACGTAATTAAAGTTTTGCTTTTTTATATATCACTATGGCTTTTTCCTCTTCCAGACAGCTTAGGTGTTGTTCTATGTTTGCATAAACTTTAGTAACTTTCTTAACTCATTCTTAAATATTTAGGTGACTCCTAACTCTCTAACAAAGGGGTACCAAAACATGGTTACAATCTCATACAACTAAACTTCAATACTAACGCGTCACGCACACAGACAAAACAAAATACTTTAGACAAATCAAATATCTGCAAATAAATTCGGTTATCCAATCATTGGTTAGGATAATGTTAAATGGAATTCCCAACCAATCCCAATAATCAGCGAGTTGATCGCATTTTTTTTGGTCGCGTCCACTTGATCGCAATATGCGTGGAACCACTTTCGTATTCCATATTATTCTTATTCGTTGCCCCTGATACTCCGGGGAACCGTATATTGGGGTGAGTCCTGAAGGAAAATCACCTTGTGGGTAACACCCCGTCAGAACTGGCCATGTCGACACACATCCAGGGTATGCGGTTCCCAGACCAGAGCAAAAATATAAGGATGATCACGATGTAAACTAAACGAAATTCCATTAGTCCTTCAGTTAGGTTATAAAAAAATAAAGAACACTTATAAAAATTTAACCAAGACGTGACGACTTGTGACATTTCAAATCAATATAGCTCTGTAATGTATTGATATAAAATAAAGAAAACACACGTGTCCAATATTTTCTAACAATCTTTCTGATAGATAGACAGTGATATTAAAGACAGTCATTAGAGGGTAGTTTCATCGAGCCTTCGAGCTGGGTGAAATCATTGGGGGCAGTCTCACATATCATCGCTGCTTCTCCTGGCGGCGAGAAAGGCGTCACTCCATTCCCAAACATTAAAGAAGTATTACACCTAAACAACTGAGTAGATCTTAATGAATTTTGGCGTAAAAATATAAACTTAAGTGAGATCGGATCGGATGAGACGGTTATAGACTACTTGGTTTGAGGGGTGTGACAGTTTGTATGGGTAACCAACTTTTCCACGCAGGCGAAGTTGCGGACACCCGCTTGTACTATTATATATATTACAAATTACATATTTTGGAAAACCATTTTCTTTTTTTTGAAGTTATACTTCTTTAGGCGCGTTATGAAAAAATGATGAGAGTGAAATTTTTAGATGCGCGCGCATCACTGTAACCCAAAAGTAACAGCATGAAGTTGGCCGCGGGCGCGTTATGAAAAAATCATGTGAGTGAAATTTCGAGATGCGCGCGCATCACTGTAACACAATAGTAACACCATGAAGTTGGCCGCGGGCGCGTTATGAATGTTATTGTCTAATAATGGTGGATTATTAACCACTTAGTGGTTAATAATCCACCATTATTAGACATCTGTTCGAAAGGTACTTTGAACATTCCACGGAGCTCCAAAAGATGATCGCGTTGTCAAAAACAATGTTGGCACGCTCGTCGCCTCTGATCACTGTTTTCATATTTATAGTATTTAACCACATGTTTCTAGTTTCTATATAGACACAACGTGTTTTAGTTACTTACAAGTGCTAATTACATATGGACTAATAACTTAAATTCAGTAGTGATTTTAATTGAATATTTTGAATATTTATTTAATTTTTCAAATTAAAACTGAACTTAATTGGCTGTGTTAACTATCCTTTTCCAGTCCTTTTATTTTATTGTAATTATTAATTATTTGCATGCAATTAAAAAATATTTTTAATGATGCTAAAGAAGTATAACTTCTCACGCGCGTACATAAGTTACACGCATTAAATTTTTTTTGAGATATCTTAATGAAACAAAGTTCGCCATACGTACTTTTTGTGCAATTAAGACTAAATTAACAAATTAATATATACTCACCAGGCATGACGATATCGGCCGCCTGCTGGCACAGCGCGGCCAGTACTGGCAGCCACGAGGCAGGCAGGGATTCTCTAGCGAGGCACTGTCGCAACAAAAGCCTCAAGTGGTCCTCGCCCGCCTCCAATAACGCCTTGCACACCTTCCTCGGTGCCGCGAGACCTTAAATAGGGATCATTGCTATATGTCTGTAATGTGCGAGTACAATCGAGACCGGTACAGATTCTCTAACGAGGCACTGTCGCAACAAAAGCCTTAAGTGGTCCTCGCCCGCCTCCAATAACGCCTTGCACACCTTCCTCGGTGCCGCGAGACCTTCAATAGGGATCATTGCTATATGTCTGTAATGTGCGAGAACAATCGAGACCGGTACAGATTCTCTAGCGAGGCACTGTCGCAACAGAAGTCTCTCAAGTTGTCCTCGCCCGCCTCAAATAACGCCTTGCACACCTTCCTCGGTGCCGCGAGACCTTAAATAGGGATCATTGCCATATGTCGGTAATGTGCGAGTACAATCGAGACCGGTACAGATTCTCTAGCGAGGCGCTGTCGCAACAAAAGCCTCAAGTTGTCCTCGGCCGCCTCAAATAACGCCTTGCACACCTTCCTCGGTGCCGCGATACCTTAAATAGGGATCATTGATATATGTCTGTAATGTCTGAGTACTATCGAGACCGGTACAGATTCTCTAGCCAGGCACTGTCGCAACAGAAGCCTCAAGCAGTCCTCGCCCACCTCAAATAACGCCTTGCACACCTTACTCGGTGCCGCGATACCTTCAATAGGGATCATTGCTATATGTCTGTAATATGCGAGTACAATCGAGACCGGTATATATTCTCTAGCGAGGCACTGTCGCAACAGAAGCCTCAAGTGATCCTCGCCCGCCTCCAATAACGCCTTGCACACCTTCCTCGGTGCCGCGAGACCTTCAATAGGGATCATTGCTATATGTCTGTAATGTGCGAGTACAATCGAGACCGGTACAGATTCTCTAACGAGGCACTGTCGCAACAAAAGCCTTAAGTGGTCCTCGCCCGCCTCCAATAACGCCTTGCACACCTTCCTCGGTGCCGCGAGACCTTAAATAGGGATCATTGCTATATGTCTGTAATGTGCGAGTACAATCGAGACCGTTACAGATTCTCTAGCGAGGCACTGTCGCAACAGAAGCCTCAAGTGGTCCTTGCCCGCCTCCAATAACGCCTTGCACACCTTCCTCAATGCCGCGAGACCTTCAATAGGGATCATTGCTATATGTCTGTAATGTCTGAGTACTATCGAGGCCGGTACAGATTCTCTAGCGAGGCACTGTCGCAACAAAAGCCTAAAGTGGTCCTCGCCTGGCTCCAATAACACGTGTCCTGTTCTGATAAAGATTCTTACTTTGTTTATCGCTCGATTAATCGCAAAAGACAAGAAAAACTGCGTCACTCGAAGCAGAGTGATGGCTTTGGCTAGGGTAAGGCTAACAATACAATACGGCCAATAACAGAAAAGCTTCTGTCTACGTGAATAGAGTAGTTTCTATTGAATTCATTTATCAGTATATTCAAAATTTAAAAAGAAATAGGGGCATTCCACGTGAAGCGGACAGGTAAAAAAACTCGATGTTTCCGATTTCAGTAATATTTGAGTATGTTCTACTTATACTTATTATTGATACGTGTACTAAATATTTTTGTGATATAATGACTAGTTAAAGAGTAATGGGACTTTGAAGTTTTCGACAACCGGTTGGCATGCAGTACTTCAAAGCCGATTATGGACTCATAAAATTATATATTAAAATAAGTAAACCACTGGATTTCCTACTTTATTTACTGGGCTTTTTAACTGTGTTTTTGGAAAAGAAAAAAAAAATTTTTTTCTTAAAAAAAAACCAATTTAAGTTTTTTTCCTTGATTTTCACCAAGTTAGACCATTTAGTTTTTTTTTATTTTTTTTTATATAAATTGCTAATATTGTGTAGAACATTGGTGCCAACTTTTATAATGGGCGTGAAAGTGGATTAGGAGCTAGACTGAAAATACTGCCGAAGGGTGGCGTCCAGCGCCGCGCCTGTTGACCGCCGCGCCGCTTGTGCGCGATTAGTCATCAAACTGTATATCAAATAAAATCACTTTGGACGGAATGTTTTGTAGATTTTTAATAAAACCAATACATAGAAAAAAATCCACGCGGACCAGGCAGCAAACGGGACTCGAACCCGCACCCTTCGCAATCCGGGCGAATGTACTGACCAATTATGCTACTGCGGCCCTCACGGACCGCGTCGAAATTCCTCTAGCCATTCTTATTAAGAATTAATCTTAAATATTAAAATTAATCATACTTGGGGAGGGGGGGGGTCTCTCTGTTTTTGTGACGGAATATTTCAAGCGGGGTCACAGAAAGTGTGACACAGCGTGACAATAGGGGGGAGCGGGTCGGAAAAAGCTGATTTTAGCGTGACGTATTTTATGAACGGCCCCTAATATAACATTTTGGATTACCTATAATGCGAAGAGATGGCGCTGCCTTGCTGCTTAAGAATGGCTAGAGGAATTTAAGGGCCGCGGTATCATAATTGGTCAGTGCATTCGCCCGGATTGCGAAGGGTGCGGGTTCGAGTCCCGTTTGCTGCCTGGTCCGCGTGGATTTTTTTCTATGTATTGGTTTTATTAAAAATCTACAAAACATTCCGTCCAAAGTGATTTTATTTGATATACAGTTTGATGACTAATCGCGCACAAGCGGCGCGGCGGTCAACAGGCGCGGCGCTGGACGCCACCCTTCGGCAGTATTTTCAGTCTAGCTCCTAATCCACTTTCACGCCCATTATAAAAGTTGGCACCAATGTTCTACACAATATTAGCAATTTATATAAAAAAAATAAAAAAAAAACTAAATGGTCTAACTTGGTGAAAATCAAGGAAAAAAACTTAAATTGGTTTTTTTTTTAAGAAAAAAAATTTTTTTTTCTTTTCCAAAAACACAGTTAAAAAGCCCAGTAAATAAAGTAGGAAATCCAGTGGTTTACTTATTTTAATATATAATTTTATGAGTCCATAATCGGCTTTGAAGTACTGCATGCCAACCGGTTGTCGAAAACTTCAAAGTCCCATTACTCTTTAACTAGTCATTATATCACAAAAATATTTAGTACACGTATCAATAATAAGTATAAGTAGAACATACTCAAATATTACTGAAATCGGAAACATCGAGTTTTTTTACCTGTCCGCTTCGCGTGGAATGCCCCAATAATAACTTTTCAGTATCGGCTTGCCTACCTTCGCTCTGTTCCAAAACCGGGTTCGAATCCTCTTCACTAGGCGGCGAAGGTCTTGTTTCTGAAAGAAAATAAAACCTTTAATTTCACCAATTGCAATTTGACAAATCTATCTTGTATGATTATAGTTTTTTACCTTGTTTTGGTGCCTTTATTAGCCTCGCTGAGCTATTACCGAGGTTGAGATCGAGGCAATACGATGAAACGCTCTCATGCAGTCTACCTTCTTCTTCAGCTGAAAAAATATACTCTATTAATGATTACAAATAAAGTTTACATGATGACGACAAAATATAGAATTGTATGGAAATAAATTGATATTTGAAAACAACAAAGATGGGTAACCATATTTATGAAAAATATTACGCTGCCTTGCATTCTAAGGTTAGAGAAAGTTCGACACGGCCGCCAGAGCCACGGTAGCATAATGGTCAGTGCATTCGCCCGGATAGCGAAGGGTGCGGGTTCGAGTCCTGTCTGCTGCCTGGTCCGCGTGGATTTGTTTCTAGTAAACTTTTCTTACATTTAAACATCTATCAGTTAAATGCTTAAAAAAAACATAACTAAAAATATTAGTTGTTTCATCATTGTCAATAGAGAATATGTATGTACATAATTCAAATACGGCTCAATGTTTTTATATAAATTCTATTATTTTTTAATAGTAACTTCATCAATATTTTTTAATAAATTATTGAATAGTGCGAAAAACTTTTGGAAAATAAAATTTAAATATCTGAAACGCGACGAAGCGGTTATGGCGTAGAGATACATAGCAACAAATCAACATACAAGCGCCATGTCCACAGGATATGGCGAAATCAATGAGACAGTACGAATGCGTAGTGCGGGCGAACCTAACCTCCTAATCTAACTTTGCGCTTGTTTGTTTTGTTGCTAGATTGCCTTGAACTGTGACGTCCAACACATGTTCCAAAATAGCGCGCATTTATAATGACGTGCAGAATGGCTATTTTTAACTTATGAGAATGTAAACTAAGAAATAAAAATATAAAAAATAATCATGCATATTCCTTATTATCATCAGCCGTTAAAGTTCCCATTGCTGGGTGACAGCCATTTCCTACGGATGGAGAGCGACATTGTGCCATGACCCACCACGCGGACCCAGTACGGATTGGTGGGTGCTAACGACTGCAGATGCAGCCGGGATCAACGACTTAGGGCCAGCGGTGCTTTCCGAATAACGAAGAAGCTCGAGATAATAAATTTTGACCACCCATCCGTAGACTGGCCGTTATGAAAGTTGTTTAAATTCTACAGTGGCAGGTTGTTGAGGTAAAGCAGAATTCCGGCACACTCGGCTCGTTCACTGTCAACACTAATGCGGGTTGCCGACCAAAAGCTGAGCTAAGTTAGTTTAGACTGCAATCTAATCTATGTGACCTAACTATAATATGCAAAGCTAAGTTAGTTGTGTATGCCGATGTGCAGCTACACGAGCTTATTTAAGCCCTTATCTTCTTTTTCTATGTGTAACTTCATTTATTATATTTATAGCGAGCGATGTCCATCGAATTGAACTTCGCAACACTGACTGATTTTTCACTTAGTTCTTGGTGTGCATATTGACGTGATAACGTCTTATAAATCGATGGACACCGGCTACACGCACGAAAAAGTGTAACGTCCGCGGTGTTTGTAAGGTGAGATTGAGGTGTGAGGTTTTTTAGTTTATCTTGGCTTAGCTAAACTGGCTTAGTTTATCAAAATAGCTTAGTTTTCGGTCAGCAACTTTTTCGGTTTGGCGACAACGCGGGTAGCGCAATGTGCCGGCATATACATTTCGGCAAACTTCTTGAGCAACGACCATAGCCAGGGAATCCTGCGCAGTAGCAATTTAACATACAAAAACATCTTACAACAAGTTTATTTATCTGTGATTTCGCTTAAGAAGTTTGCCGTTACCTATACAGCGCGTAGTCGGCGAACTGAAGCAACTCGCTCACACACTCCATGTACCCGGAGCTGAGCAGATTGTGGCACACTCGGCTCGCTGTCAACACATACACTCACGCGGGGACGGCTCGTCCTGCGACAGCGCGGGTAGTGCGGTGGGCCGGTACAGCGCGTAGTCGGCGAACTGAAGCAACTCGCTCACACACTCCATGTACCCGGAGCTGAGCAGATTGTGGCACACTCGGCTCGCTGTCAACACATACACTCACGCGGGGACGGCTCGTCCTGCGACAGCGCGGGTAGTGCGGTGGGCCGGTACAGCGCGTAGTCGGCGAACTGAAGCAACTCGCTCACACACTCCATGTACCCGGAGCTGAGCAGATTGTGGCACACTCGGCTCGCTGTCAACACATACACTCACGCGGGGACGGCTCGTCCTGCGACAGCGCGGGTAGTGCGGTGGGCCGGTACAGCGCGTAGTCGGCGAACTGAAGCAACTCGCTCACACACTCCATGTACCCGGAGCTGAGCAGATTGTGGCACACTCGGCTCGCTGTCAACACATACACTCACGCGGGGACGACTCGTCCTGCGACAGCGCGGGTAGTGCGGTGGGCCGGTACAGCGCGTAGTCGGCGAACTGAAGCAACTCGCTCACACACTCCATGTACCCGGAGCTGAGCAGATTCTGGCACACTTGGCTCGCTTGGAACCTTGCAGAACGCATCGAGCTATTACTTTGAAGTTAAATACGTGAGATTGTTATAGGGAGTGGAGTATGTAAGAGTATTTCCGAAGACTTTTAGGCTGACAGACATAAACGTTTCCTTATTAAAAATCAATGCATCCGTCGTGTACCTACTGACAAAACTAAACTGAACAAAAACTAAATATTTATTTCTTAAATAGGTGTAACTTTGAGAAATATAATAATATGTTCTCGCTTTAGATGAACATTATCAATAAATTTCCAAATCCATACTACTACCTACTAAACGTGCGAAAGTGTTTCTGTCTGTCAACTCTCAAGCTTAAACTACTGCACTGATTCGAATGAAATTTGATTTAGAGATAGTTGAAGTCACGGGAAACCACATGGCATAGTTTTTATCCTAGAAAGCATACTTTGAGGGGGTGAAAATGGGGGTGTTAGGTGGTGGAAATTTGCAAGGAAAACCCATTTTTCCAGACGAAGTCGCGGGCACCCACTAGGTAGCATAAAAATGCCTACTTAGATTTATCATTTCAAAATTTGCTTTATGATCAAAAGGTCCATATAGCAAAACGTCCAACTCTCAGATAGTCTGTATAGCAGAACGTCTATTTAGCAAATCTTCATATTCTCAAAATGTCTGTATGTATCAACTCATTTTTTTATAACATACAGGGTGTAAAAAAACCTATGACAAAGACTTAAACTACGCATTCTGTACTCCCAAACAAGTCGTATTACAAAATATTATATGTGGGATAAATTAGTATTTTTAAGTTAAAAAAATACTTTTTTTTTTCTAGTACGCAATGTATATCGCGGCGCGCTACTGTGGCGCTACGCAAAGAATGTGCCTGTGTGTATGTGTGTGCGTGTGTCTAAACGTTTTGAAAATATTATTGTATAAATCTTGAAAAAAATATTTTGGCTTTGACCTTCAATATCTCCATAACCATAAATTTCCCAGGTATGGTCCAGAAGAAAAAAATGATCGTCATGATGTGGAAAATACGTGGCCTTCGACTTCGTTATCGGTTTTTTACATCCTGTATAAAGGAGAATGGGCAAATCCGCCTAGATTGCGCTTGACGCATTTATGTATCAAAAATCTTCTTCTGAATTATCATTTCATATGTGTGTTTATTATGTAAATATTAAGCGGATATTTAAAATAATAAATAAATGGCTATTAAACTGAGTAAATAACCAATAACCATAGATAAAAGTTGTATCACCTGGTCGATACTATCGTAGGAAAAAAAATCGATTATATTTCTTTATTTAAATATTCTTAACATAAAAAAACGAGTGTGCTTATGACTAGACAACTGAAGTGAAACTTCTTTCATTTACTAGCTGTAAGAGAAAAAGAGAAAGAAAATGCGTGCGCGCGCTCTTGCTCCTACACTGTGATACAGACAATAGGCTTGCACTGTGCTTAGATATACGGAACGTATTTGGCTATGAGAGGAAGAGAGAAAGAAAATGTGCACGCGCACTGCTTTCTCATGCTTACATCCCCCACTCAACTCCCGTTCGCCTCGCCCGATCACACTTTTCTTAACGCTTACGTTCGCTAGCTTACTCCCCAAGTCAAGAGTGCGTAAAGAAGTTTCACTTCAAAAAGAAAAAATAAAACGTTTATTATAATTGAAAGCATAGAACAATTAATAGCCTGAAACATTTTTACCAAACACCGTAAATGACTACGAAATAATGATCATTCGTTAATTCGTAGTCATTTTTTATTTTGAGGTTTTCGATGCGAGTTGTTTGATTTTTGTATGGATCGATGGATAGATTATTTTCCCCAAATCGCCTATTCAGAGGGCCTGGTTTCGAATTGTGGTGAGGCAAATGTTTGTATGATGGATACGAGCATTTTTACCAATATTATATCATGATAAATAACATTAAATTCATAAAGTTATCATTTGTAAGACCTGTGTTGTGACTATCTCACTGTACCTACCAGGGATTGCTCTCTTTCATTGCATCTAAAAACTAAAAGGAACTTAATGGGCTGCGCAAAAGAGGATTTTTTGCCTGCGGACTATTTTGTTCATCAAACAGTAGATCGCATACAAAAACTTTTATATGTGTACTACATATTCACATCTTAGATTAAAAAAGGGAATATATTTTTGTTTAAATTATCAGTTATCTACTATATAAAAATAAGTCGGGTTTTCCTTCCTGACGCTATAACTCCAGAACGCACGAACCGATTTCCACGGTTTTGCATTCGTTGGAAAGGTCTCGGGCTCCGTGAGGTTTATAGCAAAGAAAATTCAGGAACAATTTAAAAAAAAATCGTTTTCTTTTAATCACAAAACGAAATGTTACATAAAACGAAGCTATCTGGTGGCGAAACGGAGTTCGCTGGGTTTGCTAGTGTTATATATAATTACTTAATCATATATAAATTAACTCATGGTTTGAACATTTTAAGCATTTGCATTGAAAATAAAACATTTATTAATCGATTGTGTAGGAATCGATTCCTATATCAAATCGAAATATATACCATAGGCAAGTGAAGTAGGTAGCTGTCAACTTGTTGTCAACGTGTTTGTTCCGAGTGACTAACTACTTATGTACAGTTTTCAATTTTGAATTGAATTTGTGTTTTCAGTGGTCTATTGTGGCAGAATAGTTTTAATGTTGAGTTGAGTAATCCTCCGTTAATAACTTTTTTTTGGGAAAGAGAGCATTGGACTCGTTGATTTAGTGTTAAGTTACCTTTAGTGATTCTGACAGAGATATTTGGACTCTTAGTTTATTGTAATTATTTTTGTTTACAATGGCATCTGGTGTTACACAAGAAAACGCAGGCAGTATGCAACGACGTTGTATTAACTGTTGTATATCAGTGCCACGACGACAGCCAGTACATTCTTTGGACATGCTATCCAATTCAATGCTTAATGTTTTAAGCTCATGAATCGCACCTGATTCTGTAAGTAATTATTTACTTATATTACTAAAAATATATCGTTATACAATCGCAACCGTGAGATAATATTTTAATTTCATTCACATGTTCAAATAAATATAAATATTTTTGACTTGTTATAGATATTGAATGGGGGCATAGTGTGCAACGAATGCTTTATGCTACTACAAGCTAGTGACACCACAGAAGAAGTACCTGCACCACAATATGGCCATCAACAAGTCTGTTTTGGTTGTGGAAAATCCATATTAAGAAGTCAATCGTACAGGGTTTCACTACACTGTCCAGAAAGATGATATTCTTAGATGGACTCCAGCACATCAGGTATGGTATAAGATATTATTATCAATAATAAATTATTAAAATTGATTTCAATGCTAATTAAAACATGACTGTGACATTATTATTATTTTTGCATTGCATGATTGAAATGTTATATTAATAATAATTTATTTAAATTGATTTCAATACTAACTGAAACATGACTGACATTTTTTTTACATTGCACAATTGTCATGTAGTATATTAATGAAATTGATTATATAATAACTAACTCAATCATGACTATGGTATATAAATAATATATATAGTTTTTAAAGATTGAGTTCTGGATAATACTGCAACTACCTATAAATATTTGCACGTCGATAAAAGCGACAGGTCATGTTGGTTATATTTTTGAGATCTGTATAATTTACCATATCTTGTCAGATAAATGATTTATTATTATTATTATAAGAAATATATTTCTATTGCATAAAATAGTTGTAGATGGTTTTTCATTAAATTCAAGTTCACTTATCTTTTTTTTATAGGTGTCAAGAATTTCAAGAGTTTGTGCTGCCTGTTGGCGAGCAGCTAATAGAAGACAGAGATGAATCGGTCATCAATTGAACAAATTGATGTAGAACCAACAGAGTCTGTACCAGTGATCCCAGTACCACCACCATTTCCCGCTGGTCTATTACCTGTTCAGCCTTCAAGACCTGTTATACCTAAGATACAGTCATCAGTATATAAGCGTGCTGTAGCCACTTCATTGAGTTGTCTGTTTTCAGGATGCCGGGAACAACAATGTTTATTAGTACCCAGAGTAATAAGAGAAATGTTATTAATACATAATAAATTTTATGTTCCCACATGTTGTAGAATATGTCAACATCACTTGAATAATGGGCGTTGGAGTGATTTAACATCAAATCTGCAAGATTTTACTGGTGTACAGTTTGATGCAATTTTGAATATAATGCAGAGAGCAGTTTCCCATTGTTTCGACTTTGAAAATATTTCTGCAATGGCTCCTTTCTTATGCCATTATTGGCTGGGAATGAATGCTGAACAGTTTGATGAACTCTTGGCATGTGTACCAAGCTTATTACAGAGTGTCAAAAATCCCCGTTTAGCACTCTGTATTTACATAGTCAAGTTAAGAACTGGGGACAGCAATGAACGATTAAGTTCCCTCTTTCAAATGTCTCGTAGGACCTTGGAGAGAAAAATGAATATAGCTAGAAGTTGTTTAGTTGAAGATTTTGTGTCAAGACATTTGGGCTTTGGTCATGTAAATGTGGAGCAAGTGGCCAGCAGAAATAAAATAATCCCGGAGGGATTGTTTGGTAATCCAATCTTACCAAATGATATTAAACCCGCTATTGTTATGTGTGACGCAACTTATATATATGTCCAGATTTGTTCTTTTTTAAAAAAAGGCAATATATAAACCAGGATTAGAGCACGCTTAATGTATAAACTGCTGTGTTAATTGAACTTAGCAGAGCTTTAACTGGATATTTCAAACTCAACAGGACATGGTGGCGAGTTACAAAAGATATTTTAGGCGAAGTCACTACAGTTCCACTGGATACGGCATAACCTCAAAAATATAAAATAAAAATATCACATTAATAATGTCGATTTGGATAAATGTGTTATCAATAAATGATTATCATTATTAAAATATTTTGTCTTATTTATTTTTGATTCCTAAACCTTAAATAATATTAGATCCATTGTTGGGTTAACAGAGCATCAAAGGTGCAGCTTGAGCGTAAAGAGAATAAGTATAAATAGCACTAATATAACCGCACCTCAACAACGCCACATTTATTAAATCTGAGATGTTTGGAATAAATAGAGATAAATAGCAGCTCACCAACGCAACAGTTTACAAATATACGCTGCCCGTTGATAAGATTTTACGCAGCGTGTGCATTCAATTTTTGTTTCACTCCCAGTCCAAAATAGAAGACAAAAGGTCACAACCTAATTAAATACAGTTTAAAGTAGTATACCTAGTAATAATTAAGTATGGTATAAATATCGAATTTAATCGAATCTACATATGACATAACCTTAAAATGCTTACGTAATTTAATATTTTCTTTAAACCACTACTTAAGTTTCTAATGATATTTTTCCTACGCAATATACACCTGATTCCCTATTGTTGTACACTTATTCCAATAAGACGCAATGAAAAAAACTTAGCCCAACTCCCAAAGTAAAATGACCATTCTCCTTTCCACAATTAATGAGTTTAATTGTCTGTGACACGAGTATACAATTTTTTTCATATTTTATTTTTTAGACTTCGTGTGTTCATAACATAACATTTTCGAATAATTCACATTTTTTTTAACTTTTGGCATAATTAGTAGGTACGTACCTAGTTTTGTAATTCGTATTATCCATGACCCACTGCAGAATGTCATTTCCGCGCCATACTCCGTTGTACCTCACCAAACGATACCTAGAAAACAATCACAGAAGTGTTACTCTTCATATCTGGAACCCTTGGAATTCTTGAACAAATGGTTCTTCTAGATAATATTTAAATCTTATATATAAAATTCTCGTGTCGCGGTGTTTATGGTTAAACTCCTCCGAAACGGCTTTTCCGATTCTCATGAAATTTTCTGTGCATATTGGGTAAGTCTGAGAATAGGACAACATCTATTTTTCATCCCCCAAATGTTAAGGGTAATCCACCCCTAAATTTTTTTTTAAATTTTAGATATATTTTTTTTAATTTTTTATGATACATCATACACAAATACATACAACCCTAAATTTTCACCCTTCTACCACCAACCCCTATTTTTTTATGGCGGTACGAAGTTCGTTGGGGCAGCTAGTATACATATATATTTTTTAATGTTCTTTTCATATTTAAATGAAGTAGCTATTTATCCTGAGCTGCAGAGAAAAAAAACAAAATTGGAAAAGTTCATACGTCATGCTCGTGAACAAGTGCTGTTAGTGGAGTGGATATGGAGTTTTCTCTGTGCTAGTTCATAAAATTATTAAATATTAATCATTAAGTGCTGTTATAATGTCATGGCTGTACTAAAGGCTATATATAGGACGTGTATTGTAATGACATAGCGTTTTGTTAACTATGGACTATCTTTAGCCATTACTATTTCTTCACTACATCTAAAATAAGATATAAACTGGTAGTAGGAAGCTAGTGTTCCAAATAAATATATTTCTTTAACACTGGAATGGGAAGAAAATAAACACGCAAAATGTACTAGATGCTTATTTAATACATCAGATCAGATAGTAATTAAATAGCGAGGGTAGTTTTGATATTGTCTAGATTAGTGATGCCCAACCGTAGTCATTATTTGATTTTGCTCGCGAACGTCTGTAAATACCGGCCATGGGCGAATCTATTAGGCTGTACTTGTCTAAATAAATGCTAAATTACGGCCACACTTAGAGACGACAATTTTCTTTTTCCTTGTCAAATTGACTATTGTTTTCGGAAAGAGTGTCAAGTCAACATAAACTTTAGACCAAATTAAATGACTTCTCTAAATGCGGCTGTAAGTGAAAATCTACTAGTAGCGTACACAGAACTTTAGAGGGTAGGCAATAAAAAGTAATGTATTATTTCTTTTAATTTTTGAAGTGAAAACTTCTTTAGCGCGCTTTGTACACTTTTTTTTGTATGGGTAAAAAATGTTAAACTTGCGTCAGGGCTGATCGCATCATGACACACAATAAAATTGGAAACATTGACTTTCAATATATTGGACGAAACATAGTAATATTTTATTTTACCGTATTATAATAATAATTTTCTATCTAGGACTTCCACGTGGCAGCTTAATTGCGAAGAAAATGCATTTTTACAATAGATGCTGCTAGGTGCGCTTAAATGTGATTCGTGTAAGTTGATTTCTTTACAATAGATGTCGCTAAGTGCGCTTAAACGTGATTCATGTAAGTTGATATTTCTGAGAGATAAACTTTTTTTAATGTAATATAAATTGTCATGTTTGTGTACGATAGCGTAATAAATAAATATTGTATTCTACCACATACATGATAGTACTTTTATACTGATAATTAAAGCAATTCCTGCAAAATTATTCCCTAACCATTCCAAAATATCAAAAATGCACAACGTTAATTATCAAGTTTTCACTTCTGCCGGCACTCCCGGAGTGCAACCCGTCGGTTTTTAACCATATATCGTTTGAGGATATGCTTTTACCACATGAGTAAAGAAAGGAACATAGACAAAGCTTTATGCATTGCACGTGTGTGAGTAAGCACTGGCGGGCTGTCGCCATAAACGTTTCTTTGCCTACGCAACAGACACCACTATTTACTCACACACGCGCCATTGTATGAAGCTTTGTCTCTGTGCCTTTTTACCCGACTGCGCAATGCAAGAGCGCGAAGCGCGACGCGTAGACAGGGTATAGTGTTTAACAGTCTATATATGTGTGTATGTTCCTTTGTGGCACACTAGAGACCAAACGCGTGGACCGATTTTGATGATTCATACATCAGTCGATTCGTCTTAATGGTGAGAGTGTTGTCATCAAAATTTAATATGGGAACAAGGCGCCATATTGTGACAAAGGAAAAAAAATAAGTTGACGAAATATGTCTAGTGGGGTATCATTGCCTAGATAATCGAAAATCATATTTAGGTTCCTTACACCATTTTTCATTTTATATGACTGTTTAGGATGTACAACGATCAACGACTTATGCGTAATTTTACGACCAGATTAAATAAAAATGTTCACTTAGCGTTTAGAATATAACTTTCCTGAGATAAAGGAAATTGCTTTTGTAAGTACTATATCAATTAACACACTGGCAGGTATCGAAGATTCTTCAGTGCAAATATAATATGATGCTGGTGAAATTGCTAATAATAATAGCTGATACGTAAATACGGGAGGGACTCACGTTAAATCCTTCCATATTTTCTTTGTTGACCTGCAATGCGTTTTACTGTAAATCTCTAATAACATTTATAATGCATTGAGAAAAAACTATTTTTTCATACTCATTTGTAAAAGTACTTAACAAAGTTACGTTGCTGCAAACAATTTATCACTCCTCCCTTTTAACAAAAAAGGGTGATTGGGTCCAATTAGGGTAGGTTTTATCGTGATAAATGCATAGAACCTAAACCTCATTGGATTACTTCACATCGAAAACTTTAATAGGGATGATTACTAATTTTTTTTTCTTCGTTTATCAGGTAGATTATCAAAAAGTATTCGACACTTATTTTTTTTACATAATATAAACATTGCAGAGATATATTGATTTGAAAAGTCGCATGACGTCACGTTTTGGTACAATTTTCACTTAAAAGTGACGTCACGAGCCCCTACTCCCAAACTTTGACGCGCTATAACTTTGTAATTTTTTGGTTGATTGCCCAAAGAAAAAATACGTGTCCATTATTTTTTGATCATCTAACTGACGGACTAAATAGAATTTCGTTTACTGTACCCCGTCATCACCCCTATTGGAACAAATGTCAAATTTTGTTATGAGACAATTCTGAACAATTATGGCCGATTCGATGATGAATTTAATCTCTCGTAATTACTGTCCGCCTTGCATGTCGGCCCTTTACTTGGCTATTCGTGTTTGATATTTGCAAACTTCGCATCATTCTATCCTTTTCATTGCTTATAAAGCATGAGAAGGACTGACTGTCAAGTTTACAAATAGCAAATACGAATAGCCAAGTAACGGGGCGACATGAAAGGCGGACAGTGATTACGAGAGATCAAATTCATCATCGTGCCGAGGCGTACCAAAATTTACACAATCATCATCATCAGCCTATTAATGTCCCCACTGCTGGGGCACAGGCCTTCCCTATGGATGGAATAGGGAGATTGGGCCATGACCCACCACGCGGGCCCAGTGCGGATTGGTGGGTGCTAACGATTGCAGATGCAGCCGGGGCCAACGGCTTAACGTGCCTTCCGAAGCACGGAGGAGCTCGAGATAGTAATTTTTGGTCACCCATCCAATGACCGACCACTGCGAAAGTTGCTTAACTTCAACAATCGCAGCCGAACGCGCTAACCACTTGCGCCATCGAGCTTCTCGTACACAATACATATATCGTTGAACTCTCAACTCTAAAATTAACACAAGTGCTTTTACCGAATCTCTCTTACGTTGTGCAAGGTTAGCATTATGAACAAATACAAATGGACGCGCCCAGAAACGTGAATTCAGTTTTAAGTATAATTACAGTTAGTTCTGCCTCACACATGAAAATTAGACAATATTTTAATCCATATAGATAAAACCTAAATAAATGTTTATCAACGTGCACATAAATAAAGTTTTCAGTACTTTCTTTATCCCGAAGACGCCGACGTTTTGACAGATTACACCGGTCGTAGTTACGGGGCAACTAATATTACTACATTAAGATATTTTTTTAAGCATATAACTGCTCGATGTTTAAATCTAAAGAAAATATTACTAGAAAAAAATCCACGCGGACCAGACAGCAGACGGCCTCGAACCCGCACCCGCACCGCTATCCGAGCGAATGCACTGAACACACAGACTAGTTAGAGATACTACGTATGAACAGTATGCTACCGCAGCCCTGATGGCCGTGCCAGCGCCATCTCTCTTTGCATTGTAGGTAACCCACAATGATCCCATAGAATATGATATTTATTGCAATGCAATAGTTATGTTTTTATTTATTTTTAAGCATTTCACTGCTAGATGTTTAAATCTAAAGAAAAGTTTACTAGAAAAAAATCCACGCGGACCAGGCAGCGGACGGGACTCGAACCCGCACCCTTCGCAATCCGGGCGAATGCACCGACCATTATGCTACCACGGCCCTATTCACTGCGTCGAAATTTTCCTAGCCTTAAGCTGCAAGGCAGCGCAATCTCTTCGCATTGTAGGTAACCCACAATGTCAAATGAATACTTTTTCAAGTATTAAACATTTTGAAAGAAGAAATAGCAATTATAGTTATGTTTTTATTTATTTTTAAGCATTTAACTGCTAGATGTTTAAATCTAAAGAAAAGTTTACTAGAAAAAAATCCACGCGGACCAGGCAGCGGACGGGACCCCGCACCCATCGCAATACGGGCAAATGCACTGACCATTATGCTACCACGGCCCTATTCGCCGCGTAGAAATTTTCCTAGCCTTCAGCTGCAAGGCAGCGCCATCTCTTCGCATTGTAGGTAACCCACACTGTAAAATGAATACTTTTTCAAGTATTAAACATTTTGAAAGAAGAAATAGCAATTATAGTTATGTTTTTATTTATTTTTAAGCATTTAACTGGTAGATGTTTAAATCTAAAGAAAAGTTTAGATTTATTTTTCTAGTAAACTTTTCTTTAGGTGCAATGCAATAGTTTAAAAGGGACATTAACTTTATTAGACGCGTGTGAGCCATCACCTGTGTTGTTGTTGTGGCAAGGCCGCGACCAGTTGGCGATACAAGTCGAGCAGGGCTTCAGTGGGCGTGGGGCGCGGCTCGCAGCGCTCCTCCTGCTGGCGCGCGAACATGAAGCTGTCGCGGGATTTGCTGCTATTACTCCTGTTCTCAGGAAACTTTACCTTGCAAATAGATCATCATAATCAGCCTACTAGTTCAGAATTATTCCAAGTCATCCCTACGGGGATTGTCACTGCAGGCAGGCGGGAATTAAGTTGCTGGTCCCACTACGGTTCTTTTATTCTCAATTGCCTTCGAAAGCAATCCCCGAGAGGGCGAAGGGGAATAAAGACCACTGCGGGGATTGCCACCGTCTTGAATTCGAAAGGAAGACAGGGATGCGAACCGTTTCCTTTGGAGACTTGAAGCGAAATCGGAAACCGAAAGGCAACCAATTAAAGAGTTCAGAATAACTGCCGTCATTTTTGGTGCGTGTTCAAGTCCTTTTATGGCGCAATATTTGAAAAATAAAAATGCTGGAGTCTTTGAACAGACTTATCCATCTGCTGTCAACGCGATCCTTTACGATCACTACTTGGACGACTACTTTCGGTCACACGACAACGTTCAGGTAGCGGCAAGGATCACTGCTGACATAATAACAATCCACAATGCCGCATGCTTGGAGATGAGAGGGTCTAGTACCTACAGACCTACGAGCCCCCCAGCCATCTGAAATCGATCTCTGCTCTAGCCCTGCAGTATCAGGGCTTTAGAGTTTGCATGGCAAATGCTTTCAAATTTATTAGGTTTTCGTATTGGTCTGGAAAATTCACTACCATTATGTTAGTGGGCTAAAAATACGAAAACTTCTTTCCCACTTAATGCGTGTGTACAATCCTTTAGGTGTACCATTATCTGTTCATTATCAAAGGTCGCATAGGTACTTTTTCAACAAGCATGGAAGTCTAATATCGGTTGGAATACTGAATTTTCGCCTAATGAATTAGTGAAGTGGATGGAATTGTTCCAAGAGGTAATTTAGGCAGCTTTTATTAAAATTCCTTGAACTTGGAGCCATCTTATCGTGAGCACGTCTCCGCTGACGCCAGCGAACACGCGTGTGCTTGTGTCGCTTATTAGCGTCTTGTTTATCAAGATGGATCGATTCGGCTAGCTTTGATTTCAAGCAAGGGCAAGGGTGTCCCTGCTTAAACCGACATCAATTCCGCGCTTGGAACTTCCAGCTGCCTTAATAGCCTCTCTCCTTGCACTAACTATTAAAGACACTCGTGTAAATAAGCCATGACTTAGCTTCTTTTGGAGTGATTCCATAACTTATAGACAGTTATGGAATCAGTCCAAAAGAAAAGAAGAAGGATGGTTACTCTCTCCCTCTTGGAGAAGATTGATTCCTCAGACTGGCCAGCATGATAAGTGCTGTCAGAAACAGGAATCCAGACATTCGTCATCTAATATTACTAGATCTGAACCATGCATTTGTGAGACTCCTGGTAGAACATGATAAGGCACCCAAGTACTTTTTTAATTTAATATCGACTTATCCATATTGTTTTAAAAGAATTTTTGTCTTAACCCCTTTCATTTTATATGACAAAATATGAGTTATGTATCCATGAATGCCAGTGCCAATGTGTGTGAAAAATTATTATGTCTGTTTTTCTTCTTTCGGAACAAAATGGAACTGCGCAACACTGTGGCATGGCCGATTATGCATACAATACGGCTCTTTTATATTAAAATATGATTGAAATGTAAAATTTTATTTCACACATGTATTAACAAACTTTTAAAGCTACACATCAGGAACTTACTCAACAGTAGCACCATCTGGTGAGACAAGAAATGGTTGCCCACATCTAATTTAAATAAATAAAATTTTATTAAATACCTGCAAATTTTCCTGCAGAGTTCTCAAATCTGGAGATATCTCACTAGTCATATCATTCTCTTTTAGGTAACTGAGAACCACATTGCAACAATAATTACATACACGAAGACCTCCTGCACAACCAAATATTTGTCCTGCAGATATAAAGTAAAAAACTATTTGTAAATAATTTCAATGTGTCTTACATAAAATAAAGTGATTTTATATTTTAATATTAAAGTGTGTTTTCAAGAATAATTTGAACCTTTTACTAATAAGCATAATTTCAATTACTTATATTAGTGTTTGAATCACATAAATATTATATTTTGCTTAAAATTACCTTTACTGTACTTGAAAATCATAGGTTATTAATTTAAATTTATTGCAGTTATAACAAGCATAATCAACTCTAATAATTTACCCACCGGGAACTCTTTGACTACAACATCTGGAGCAGAATATCTGGCCACACACCCGACAATGATGTCTGCGGCGTAGGGTGCTGAATCTCAAGGCACATTCGTAACACTCACGGGAAATATCATCGGGCATCCAGTAACGGGCAAGTTCAGTGTCGGCATATCTAGTCCCCTGGCCCTAAAATATGTATTAGGTAGACTTTTAAAAATTTCTTTTCAAAGTAGGTACTAATATCTATTAAAATATAAATAAAGAAAAGGGCATATACCCCCGACCCTAAAGCTATGAGACTACTGATACGCCTCAAAACATTAGGTAAACTTCGGCCTTCAAACTCGACTGCGTAAGAACCCGTCTCCGTCTTAGAATCATCACAGTCCTGTTTTTGTTCATCAGACATCTGAGCATTTTGTTTTACCAATGTTGGACTTTTATCTTGAACAATTTCTGAACTTTCGCTTGGAGTAAATATAGGAAATTTCCAAAGTTTGTTGAAAAACGTGGATACACCACTTTGGGTGGACTCGGCCTCGTATCTTGGAAATTCTGTGAGTTGCGAAGTATCATACTTATCCATTTTTTATACAAATTAATAAACACATTTGTAAAACATTTGTTTATATTTTGACTTTTGACGTAATCTTAAACAGACTAGCGATGCGCGACTTCGAATAATACTAATACTCATCATTCGACTCCACAAATCATTCGACTAAGTCGACTGCGCTGTATATCATTCGACTGGAGTTGAATTCATCTGGCGCTGCGCGTCGACGCAGCGACATTTGACATTAGTATTACTAATTAGTAATTGTTATTCGAATAATGCGAGCTTCGTGAAATACCTACGAAAACAATTTATCTAATTTAATTTGCAACTGCCACCGCCGAACGATGATACGAAGCTCGCAAGTGTGGGCTTTTGTTTTTTTTTTGTTTCCTCCCAGGCGGGGGAGAGGGTGAGAAATCCTCATGGAAACCCTACAGCCGGCTGTAAGGTTATGTCAGACTCTTACTGACTAATAAACACCCTTTAATCATGCTTATGGCCAGAAGGGCCTTACAAGCTTCATCTGAAGCGATCATCCCCCGAGAGGGGGATGATGCGGCGCTGCGTTAGTTTAAACTAGTGCATAGTTTAAAATAACGCAAAATGCGCTTAGAGGACAAGTGCACTCAGATGTACACTTGGAACGGATGCGGCTGGCTCTTAAATGGCAACATGTCGGTGTTGAGGAAGTGGATCGTAGAAAGGAAAGACAATCAGCTCGTAATATTTAGTTTATGTAGTCCCAATCACATTACATTTTATTATAGGTATAGACCGTTGACGTATTTAGCAAAGTCCTAGAATGAAGTAACGGTGACATAGAGAACAGGCCATCGAGTCGCGCTAACAAGAAGGTTTTACATAAAATCATAACTTCAACACACCTCCTTGATTTTATAGAAAACAACAAAAACAACTTAATACCAATATAACAACTTAACATAATAAATAAATCACTTAACAAAAGACTATCTGTCATTAACATTTCATTTGACATTTGCCAGTTCTCTAAGTTTTATAAATTTATTTTTTCCTAATGCCTTGGTCAATATATCCGCTAATTGTTTTTCTGTATGAACCTTTACTATATTAATAATACCCTTTTTCTCGTAGTCATATACGAAGTGGTAGCTTATGTCAATATGCTTAGAATTTTTACAAAACTTTCCGTTCTTTGACAACGCAATAGCCCCGCTGTTGTCTTCGTAAATTTTTACTGGATCCCTAATCTCAACGTTTAAATCGCGTAACACACCTATTAACGGAAGTACTTCTTCAACACAGTCTGCCAAAGCATAATACTCGGCATGAGTTGATGCTCTTGACACTATTTTCTGTTTATGTGACTTCCACATGATCGGATTATTAAAAACTCTTATAAGGATTCCTGTGGTCGACTTCCTATCCGATTTATCTGCGGCCCAATCAGCATCTACATAAGCGTCCAATTGTTCTTCGTAGTCGGCGTCAAAATTCATCTTTAAATGTCTCGTACAGTAAAGATATTTGAGAACTCGCAAGGCATATTTGAAATGAGTATCACTATAAGCATTTTGGAAACGACTCAAATAGTTAACGCTATAAGATACGTCTGGACGTGTTCCACTCGCAACATACAGAAGAGCTCCAATCAAGTTTCTATACTTTAACGTTGCACTGACATCTTGACTTGGTTCAATGCTTAAATTCATTTCCATTGGTGTCTCAAAGTTCTTTGATTCGATTACGTTATACTTTTCAGCTAAACTTACAATGTATTTTTCCTGGCTTAAAGTGATTCTGCCTTCTTTTGGTTCAAAAACTACATCTATTCCAAGATACTGTTTCACCTTTCCCAGATCTTTCATTCGGAATCTATTGTTCAATAGCCGTTTAACTTCGTCAATTGCCTCATTTTTCTCCCCACAAATCAAAATATCATCCACATACAGACATAGATATATATTTACATTATTTACACACCCTGTATACAAACAATAGTCATAGTCTGACCTATTGAAATTAATGCTTGACATGAATTCGTGAAAGCATTCATACCAATCACGTGGGCTTTCTCGCAATCCATAAAGAGCTTTTTGTAGTTTGCACACTTTATTATTCTCTGTACAATATCCATCAGGTGGGTAAATATAAACTTCAGACTTAATACTCCCATTCAAGAATGCTGTCTCAACGTCCATTTGTTCAATGTTCCATCCTCTTACACATGCAATTGATAATAAAGCTTTCATTGTCGTCATTCGCGCTACTGGTGAATAAATTTCCTCGTTTTCTTCATACATCTGTTGGAAACCTCGTGCGACTACTCTTGCCTTATACTTTCCATTCGACTTGATCCTAAAGATCCATTTAACATCTATTATTTTCTTATTTTCAGGTCTCTCAACTAAAATCCACGTTTCGTTCTTTTCCAAACTGTTCAATTCCTCTTTCATTGCATCTTTCCATTTATTTACATCCGGACTTTTTATTGCTTCATCATACGTATCTGGTACCAGTGCATCACTAAAATTTATATATACAACATGATCTTTATATTTCTCTGGCATTTTTCTATCTCTTTTTGGTCGGATATCCGTCACCTCCTCAGTCACAGCTCTACTTGATTTTTCCTTTGAGTCATCAACACTATCATAAAATTCTTCGTTTTCATCAGTTTCATCTTCAGTATTTACTATCTTTATTATCTGTTCTTCTTTCGTACCTATAAATGTAACGTGACGACTAATGACTATTTTTTCATTTATTAATACTCTGTATCCCGTATCTGTGTATCCTACTAATATACCTTTTGTAGCCTTTGGGTTAAGTTTTGATGTGCGTAATTCGTCTGGAATTCGTACATAACACTGTGATCCGAAAATTTTTAAATTACTTACATTTGGCTTCCTCCCCATAAAAATTTCGTACGGTGTTTTTTTCTCATACGTATTTGTTAATATTCTATTACCTAGATATGCTGCAGTCATAACGCATTCAGGCCAATATTTCTTATTTATCTTTGCTTCTGTAAGCAGACACCTCGCTCTCTCCATTATGGTTCGGTTAAATCTTTCAGCTACACTGTTCAACTCGTGTGTATAAGCTGGCCCTGGTTTTAAATAAATACCTTTTTGCTTTGTGTAAGTGTAGAAATCGTTGTTAATATATTCTCCGCCATTGTCACATCTGATTTCTTTCACTCTCTTACCTGTTTGATTTTCCACCATATTTACATAATCTCTAAAACAATTCAAAACATCACTCTTGTTATTAATTAAGCATAGATAAGCTAACCTACTATAGTCATCTATGAATGACACAAAGTATCGTTGCCCCTTATATCCAGTGGGCGTAATCGGGCCTGCCACATCCGTGTGGATAATCTCTAACAAGTCTGTTGCCCGTCGTCTTTGATTTCCAAAAGGTAGATTTGTCATTTTGTTCATCAAACAAACTTCACATTGCACGTAACCCTCGCCTAACGTGATAGGTAATCCATCTACAACCCTATGCCTGCACATTTCATTTAGTTTCTTAAAGTTAGGATGCCCAAGTATTCTATGCCATTTTTCTTTTTCTGACATAATGTTACCACTTGTGTATGCTACTGTACCTGCACCTAAAGTAACTCTACCATCTAATTCGTACAATTTATTTTTCTTGCGTGCGACGGCCATTAAACCTATATGTACATTATATATATTTGCTATTTCTCCTCTAAATTGAATTGTATTATTTCTATTTACAATGCATGAAACGCTTAATAAGTTCTTTTTCATGTTTGGTACATAATATACATTCGAAACATCAATTTTATTTAACTTACCTCCTGCTTTACAGTACATTGTTACATTTCCTATTTTCTCCGACTTAAGACAAAATCCATCACCTACCTTAATATTTACAGGTGTTTCTAAAATTTTATAATCACGAAAGAATTTATCGTCATTTACGATGTGATCGCTACATCCGCTGTCCAATAACCATGTTATATCCGCTTTCGTTTCGGTAGCTCCTGTCATCGCTTCTACTTCTACGTTGAATCCAAATCCATCACTGGTGCTGCTACTTTGTCCTGTATTCACGCTTCTATTGTTGTATCCTCCTCTATATCCTCTGTGAGTTCCTCGTCGTCCGCCTCCATATCCGCGTCCTCTACCACGACCATGACCACGACGTGCTAACTTAGGACAATCCCTCCTGTAGCGTCCTAGGCGGTTGCATTCAAAGCAGTTATCATTATTCCTGGATCCATCTTGGTGTTGATTTGATCGAGAACTGAACGTATGAGCTTCTTGTTCGCTCTGTTTTCTTTTCATTTCAAGTAGTAATTTGGACTTCACGTACTCCACTGTCCGATCCTTTGTCGGCATCGCATCAACAATATTTACAATATGTGCAAAACTCTCAGGTAATGCAAGCAATAAATAGTTCAGTCTATCCTCTTCCGACACGACTTCTCCAGCATTTTTCAATTCATTGATTTGTTTTTCAAATGTTTGTATGAATTCTAGTATATCGTCGCCATCTTTGAATTTTGTTTCTAGTACTTTCCTTTTAATTAATAATTTATTAGCACTGCCTTTTACTAAATACATCTCGTCAAATTTTTTAATGATCCCGTAAGCCGTACTTTCATTCATTATTATATCGAGCTGAGTATTATTTACGCTATTCACTATAATATTTCTAGCCTTTAAATCAATTTTTCTCCATTCTGTGTCTGTCATACCTTCATGTTTTATATCATTTTCCACAGCTTCTTGGCATTCCTTCATTTGTAACAACAACTTTAATCTAAATTTCCATTTTACGTAATTTGCACCATCAAATATCTGAATGCCTACTTCTCCTATCTTTACTTCCATTTTCGGTACCTTACGTCTTCAATTGTTTCGGTACTGACCTTTTCAAATAATTTCCACTTATCTTCCTCTTTCTATTTATTTTATTCAACCACGCTCCTTTGCTACCATGTTGAGGAAGTGGATCGTAGAAAGGAAAGACAATCAGCTCGTAATATTTAGTTTATGTAGTCCCAATCACATTACATTTTATTATAGGTATAGACCGTTGACGTATTTAGCAAAGTCCTAGAATGAAGTAACGGTGACATAGAGAACAGGCCATCGAGTCGCGCTAACAAGAAGGTTTTACATAAAAT